ACACCGGGTGTCGCAGATGCGCGAGCCCTACGGGATGCTTCCAGGAAGAGTATTGGAAATGTTCTGGCTGAGCGTGCGCGGCTCGTGCAACAGACATTGACTCGAAATGCACGTAAGTTCAGCGACAACTAGCGCTCATTCATTTCATCCTTCCTCAATCGTTTAATGTCCTTTGAACTCCATTCCTTTTTTCGTACAGTCGCTTCACAGCAATCATCGACGCCAGTCCGGCCTGCAACGTCCAGTAGACTGACGAACATCAATGCCAACGATCGATCCAAGACAAACTCGGGTAGGGGAGGATTTAAAGATGCCCACCGAATATTGACTCTTGAAGAACAGAGCTCGGAAGAGACGTAATTGCCCCATCATCATTCGCAGCTTCGGAGAATATCTCTGCACCTGGAAAACCAGCTCCAGGGAATCAAGACGGCGCCAGAGCAGGCTCAAGGAGACTCGCCTCTGAGGAGCCATCAGGTGAGCGGAGTCCACGGATCGTTACGCACATTCATTTTTTAATTAACGTCTCTTAATGGTCCATGTTCAGGCGTCTGTGGATACCATCACTGATCGGAAATTTTCCCGGCAGAGAACATGGTCCTGAACTCCCTCAGTGCTTTCGAGTCAACCGGGACCAACCTCTCACGGTCCAGTGCAGAGGCAGATTATTCGAAGATGAGCGTATCACGAGCAGCTCGGTCATCGACACGAAGCCGAGGAATCCAAGCGACATCGAGTGAGGGAATCGATGACTCGCAAGCTTCCAGTTCTCCTTACGCCACGAGGCGCCGAAGCCAGCGGAATTCCGAAAGGCTCTTGGGCTTGAGCGCGTTCTCATTGAAACGTAAGACGAAAGACCGCAACGTTCAGTGGCTCATCTTGGTCTGTACGTCAATAAAGCGTCTTGTGGAATACGTTCCTTCAGTCAAGGAGAACATCTCATGTTGTACGTGTCTCCAGTTAGCGCTCGCCGCTACGAAAATAGTCTCGATCGAGGACTCCGATTGGTAAGAGAATCCACTCCCCGCGAAAGAAAAAATTCGGAGCTCGAAATGACCGAGTTCGAACCTCGATTCACCTCAATAATTCCCGCAGGCTCTCAAAGTTTGCTGACGACATCGCACAGCTGGCGCGAGCAGCCGGAAAATGCTCGATTCATAAAGGGAGTGTGAGACAAGAGCTTCAGAGCAAACGACCCAGTCGGAGAGCTCAGAGGTGCGATCTTCCGAGTTTCACTTACTTATGTCGAGGAGAATGTGTCGCCATTTATACGACATCCTGAATGATTGTGGATCTGTCCTCATCGGTGAATATTTTCGATTCCAGTAAAACGGACGACGAGAGTATGGAGAAACTCTTCGTGTGGTTGCAAAACTCGAGGAACTTCCTAATGGAGCGACTCGCCCGGAGCATTCAATTGCTGTTGTAGGAGGACGAGAACGACGCGTCGGAGAAACGAATATCTAGCGGAGCACCCGCTTGTAATCCCGTTAAATAAATGCACCGGTTGTGGGTGCGTGTATAGATCTGTATTTTGCTCTAACAAGCGGCGCGTAATCCGCACGAGGGAAATGTTCCAGCATTCTCAATATAAATGATGTCACCATGATAAGATTGAGGGACGTAGGAGCGAAATTAGGACTTCCGCCGTTCGCCCCGGGATTCCCTCCCTAATTTATCGCCAGAGGTGATTATTATCTATTATAATAGAAATCCTCAATAAAATTGCTGTCGCACTCAATGCACTATCTTCGGCGAATGATCTCATCGGGCTGCGATATTGAAACTTGATTTATTGATCACAAAGACGCGAAGTCTAATAAGCCGAAGCTCGTCGGGTACTCAATGCCTCAACGATCCGACTATCGCTATAGGTAGCAACTCGTAGCGACTAAGAATCAACATTCGATCAATGTCGAAGATGAAAGACGTTTGACTGTTCAGACTTCATAGCCTACGACTGCAGACGGCTCTTTGTCGTCTGGCCTACTCCTTGATAGGATGATGGTTCGGTGGCCTATTCTAGACTCATTTGTGTCCGAAGCACTTCGGATTGTTGTCGACTCCCTGGTCGAGAACCGAGAGCGTTTTGTCAGCACCAAATGTACAGATGTTCACCAGCTAGTCCTGTAGTAACAGCAATCACGTGTCTGTTTTTTGTCCACACGGTGAATCGTGGATCGTGACTGGATCACCTGAGTATTGCGGATAGGGTATACTACTGGTTACTACATTTGGGGGAGGTATCGTTCTTAAAGCACGGTTAATCTACGGGCTTCACCGCCGTCATATGCAAGCTGGTTCCGAATCGGAGCCGCAATGATTTACAAAATCTGTCGTTCAAGATACGGAAATTAGACATCGCGTTCTGAATGATGATAAGTCTATTGCGACTCGGGAAGTAGTCGCTGACACCTCGTATAAGGATAAGGTAAGCGGTAATTTGTAGCGGGTAGTTCGATCCATCGACAGTGCTTCTTCAATACACTTTAACGGCCAAAAGGCGACTCTTAACCTTTAGGCCGACTTCTATTATCACCCTTGAGTTTAAAAGTATGTATATATTCTTCTCCTCCTCCTCATCAAGACCGTTCCGTCGACGCACGCGAGGGCGGCGGTTTCCAGGAGCGATCTCTATGTTTTACAGCGTTACAAAACTTGTCTCTTGTTGTGCAGTTTTCAGACAGTTCGATAAAGAGACGAGGCCGCCATAAGGGCTTAGGATCAAGTCTCTTCCTAATCCCGTTCAGGGAGGGTATAGAAAGCCCGAGAACCATGCGCAAGAACATGCCGCCATGTACCTTCCGATACACAACGCGATTGTTCTCTCGAAGGGTTCGATCAGGCTCAAATCGACTCTCGGTCCTCGAAGTCGGATCCGGAGGTTCAAAATACATTTTTCTCGAGAATCTATCTATCTACCGGAATCTGGTATCTACTCTCTTCCTATTTACCTAATTGGTCACGGGTAGTGGTACAACGTTTGGACATGAGGACCGAAATCTACAGAGCGGAAGGTTCTGATCTGGGACTCGAATCAATTGACTAATAACTTCCAGGATAGAATGTGCTCCGTGTCCCTTGGAGTACATCTTTCGAATTTTGCAATGTCGACCAAGAACTTAGCCGAGAAGTTCAAAAGCATAGTATGGATTGTGTCCTTAAGTCAGTCCAGAACGTGAGCATCGCTTATCTGATCTGCTCCTTTACACAGGTATTTGGGTTCGAGTTCCGTTGTTCCCATCCGATTCGTAGCGGGGATATCTAGCGCGAAGAGCTAGCCAGAATAACAAGGAACTCCGGATCGCCTCAAATTACTATCGACCTTTCTCGTACTCATACCTGTACGTGACAGGGTCCATCTAAGCTCGGTCTCGAGGCGAGGATATCTAGCTCAGCTCTCATCATTGTTGTCAAGTATATCTTCCCCAATGGACGGAGTACTCACTGTGTGAGGTCGTTTTACATTGTTAGAGAACAAGCTTGACACTGTGTAGGCCGACCCTTCTCCTTAACAACAAATTACTGCTAATGGCCGCTGGGCGTCTAGGATTGGAGTGAGCTAATTCGGATCTAATGCTGGAATCCGAGGAAATGTTTACAGAATCACGGAACTGTGTGGATTCGTTGATGATTTTACTCGATTGGCGAAACTGGATCTTTCTTGAATTGAAATGTTGGCTTTCGGTCAGTTACTTTCTTTGGTTGCTTGCTTAAAATTGGTACGGGAAGGAGACAGTTTTACTTTGTTCGGCCCAGTCGGTTTGATGTTTCTCTAACATTGCTCCACTCAGGTCAACTCCGTCGACTTTTGGTTTTCGAAGATTTCATTTTGTTGTCGTCAAAGTCGATGACAATGTCACTGTCGAAGGAGCGTCGTTTGAAGCTCCGCCAAAAAGTCACTTTCACACTGCTCGCGTAATGACTGTGACAACGTAGATCCCCGAGCTGACGGCTTCCCATTCATTCTCTCTGTGGCATCGAGTGTTGTAAGGATTCTACGACGGACAACGATGCTCGTCGTACGTCGAGGTACTTCGAGGAAATAGCTGGCCAATCAACCACGTTGCTCAGCTTGTTCATTCCGTATACCATTTCCTCTGAAAAAGGCATACCATCAGAATTGCGAACAATGATGCCAAAAGGAATAAAAAGTGAATTCTCGAGAGCTCTGTACCGGCCCGTAATTTTTCCTTCAGTATGAAAACTCAATTTGCGATGTCGAGCAGCATCGACTTATTTGTGAACTCACCTAGCGGCACAACGCGTCTCATCTGACGGCCAGAGCTGGCTCTACTGCCGGTGCTCATGCTCGAACCCATGTCTTTGTTCATGTGAGCGAGACTGCCCATGCCGAGGAGTCCGCCCTTGCTCTTTTTGTTGCCACTGCATCGTTCCATGACGAGCTCCGGCACGAACGTCACCACGTTCGCTGGTGACGGCGACGACGACGCTTTTTTCATGTTTCGTATGAGTTTGGCTCGACCGAATTTCCATTCGGTGTCCGATTGAGCTTGAATACGTTGGTACGTATCGGACATCATAGCAATCAGGAGATTGATGAGGACAACGACTGTCACCATCATGTACACTCCGAAGACGATCTTGACTATGATTTTAGAGAATGCAGGAGACAAATGCAGTGGCGGCATGTAATCGGGTTCTACGAGACCGAACAACGAGAAGAACAACATTTCGAATGTGTTCAGAGGCGATTGGAACTCTGCTCCGAGCATTGGCAGAGTTACGTTTCCTGCGCCGGTGTCGGGTTTGAACACGGGCTGATAGACTGCACACATGTTCAGCGAGAAGCCCACCAAGAAGATGAGCAGGATGGCCAGGAAACGCATGAGATCCTTGATGAGATCCCGAATGATGACCGCCCACGGTCCGAACAAGTGATGGAATGTTAAGAAGTTCAGGAACTCCAGGAAACTCAGTAGCAACGCTACAGCGAATAGTTGATTTCTCACGTAGAGACATATCAAACGTGGATTGTTCTCTTTGAACAAGAAAGCTCCCACGTGTACCATGATGGCGAACGCTGATACAAACAAAACGACTGTTTTGATGTAACCCAATCCCTCACGATCGGAAGGATTCGTGAGTTCCGCGATGAACATTCCCAGGAGCCAGATTAATAATAACCACTCGTTCCAATGGGGTATCAAATCCGTGGAGTTGTACAGGGGGTTCCAGGGATTGATGATCGTTATCGAGAGGACCATAACGAAGAAGATGTGGGATACGAGGTACGACATGAATTTCACGATGGGAACATTGGCGATTCTATGTCCGCACAATAGAGACGTTCCCAGCCAGAAAGGCGGACACAACAAAAACCCAAGAAACAGCGTTAGCACCTTGGAGCTCGACCATTGGTGAGAACCCATCCACAGCTCGGTCAAGTATTTCTGGACGGCCGGGTGTGCAACCACAGATTTTCGCTGAAAGAAATTCGTGTCAATCAGATGATCCAACGGGGGAGGGGGAGGGGGGAGGGAGTTCAGGATTATCGAAGAGCCGGAATATATCTCGGGGGGAGGGGGTCCGCTCCGCAAGGACCCTTTTTCAGGACCTCTGGGGAGGAACGCACCTGTAACTCGATGAGCACATCAAGGAATGGGGTGTTGCGGTTGTCGATGGCTCTGAGTAACGCCGCTGTGTTGTTATTCGAAGCGGCAATGGATAGAAGTTCGTTCGCAAGATTATCGCAGAATTTCGACATTTCTTCTAGTTCCATCGCGCGCTCTTTTTCTTTGAGAGACAGCAACTCATACGATCGGGCTATCTTCACCGCAGTGTCTATGGGCGCCGGGGATGCTAGAATGAAGTCGATCACCGGTTTGTTCTGGTGAACTTTTGCTGAGACCATAAGATCGATGAGGAACTGGGGAAGAGATCCATGTTAGAGGCAGAATACTGGAGCTCGATTTCTCTGCGTTCGACCGTGACGGAATGAATGGAACTCGGATTCATCGTAGATTGTTCAGGTCATCGATTCATTCATCGCGTATGACGTCATATTGACGAAGGGATACTTTACATGTTTATCTTCCATGAGATCCGACGTGTCGTGGTCTTTTTTCAATAGGTACGAAATTATGTCGTAGTGACCTTCGGCCGCCGCCAAGCAGAGCGGAACTTTTCCGTCTTTCGTTGGTACTTTGGCGGTGGCTCCATTTTCGACAAGGATCTTGACAACAGGCAGAAACCCTTCTTTCGAGGAATAGTGCAGAGCTGTCCATCCCATGTTGTCCGCTGCGTTTATTTCGGCGCCTGCGGAAGTCCAGAATGGTGGTGAACTGTCAGAGCCGGACACGCTGGCGTGGTTTGCCTCAGCTGTCTCATTCCTGACCCTCATCTCGCAGGGCAACGTACTCAAACGTGGAGGTCATGCAGAGCGACCCGACGAATTCCCTTACCTTGGGAATGCAAGAGGCCCACCATCTCTCTTTTGCCAGCTGCGGCCGCAACATGAAGCGGAGTTCTTCCCATTTTGTCAACACACGACAACTGCTGTTCTGCGCGACTTAGGATCAACGAAGCGACCGCCAGATGTCCTCCCTGGGCAGCGAAGTGCAGAGGGTACATGCCTTCGTTGACGGTGGCGGCGTCGACGTTGATTCCAGTACTGTTAAGCAGCATACGGACCACACCTTCGTGGCCCGCAGCCGCAGCCAAATGTAGCGCCGTCATGCCGTAATCGCCCCCTCCGTCCGGGAGCGGTTGGGAGGCGATCGCAGCTTGAACCTGGGGGAGCGCGAGGGATTCCGAAAAATTACCTTTCGTTCACCGATGAACGGATTTGTGTCGGGGATCATTGTCAGCGGAAGGTCACAAACCTCGGTCAACATTTCTCTGACGAAGTCCATCTGTCCATTGTTGGCCGCCACGTGGAGGGCCGTCAATCCGGTTTTCTTGGATGTTGTCGTCCACGGCACCTCCCGGGCCAACACGCGCGCCACACTGACGTGACCATTTTTAGCTGCCAGATGAAGTGGGGTGTCTCCGTCAGAGTTCTCCTCAGTTGGACTCGCTCCTGCCTCCAGACACATCTTCACTACCTTGGTGTAACCACCAGCTGCCGCGAGATGAAGGGGTGTAGAGTCTGTTGTCTTGTTCTTGGCACTTGTCACTGTGGAGCGGAGAAGCGTCGAATGAGGACAAAAATTCAGTGAGGAATTCCGCGTGGAGGGGTCTCAATCACGTTCTAGGGGTCGATAGGTGTGGGCACAACGCACCGATGGATTTGTTGAACTTCATAAGCTCTTTTATGACGGATGTAGAGCCCTTCATGGCTGCGATATGAGCACAAGTGAATCCTTTCGCATTTGACATAGTGGCCAAATCTGGTCTCTTTCTCAGGAAGAGCTTCACGATCTCCGAGTGATCGTTTTCGATTGCCATCATCATCGGCGTCTGTCCTTGGCTATCCAACGCGTACATATCGGATCCCAGGTCGACAAGCAACGCCGTTACGTCTAATTGGCCTTTACTCGCCGCCAAATGCAATGGAGTCTTCTTGCTCTGAAAATTCGGTGGGGCATGGTCAGTTCAGAGCGAATCAATCATGTCCCAATCGAATGAAAGCCCCCTTATCCATGTACTCGAATTAATGCATCTACGAATGTCCTCCGACGGAATATATTTTTTCCAAGATTTGGAGAACCAGTCCCTGCACGAACCAGACTCAGGGCATCGATGAGAGAGCCCGATGAGTGTAGCTTTCGAACAATGTTCGCATAACCGTATTCGCTGGCCATATGCATAGGCGTGACGCCTTTTTGGGATCGGGCGTTGACAAACGCCTTGGCCTCGAGCAGAATGTCCACAATATCCTCATGGCCGTTTTCACAAGCGAGATGGAGTGCCGCGTGGCCTTTCTCATCGAACATATCCACTCGGGCTCCGTTCTGGATCAACAAGCGAGCCAATTCGGGGTGTCCGGCATCGCAGGCATACAGTAGCGGAGCCCATCCGTTCTGGAAGAGAAGAATGAATAAGAATGATTCGTCATTGCGTCGCGGATGCTTCCGTTATATCGCCAATTCCGCAAGAGCGATGGTCGGATTTGCGAAGAAACACCGTCCGTCTCGGTTAGGTCCCAGCAAGCCGAAAAATTCTCGCCGAAACCGGGGTGAAGTGATTAGGTTGAAGGATCTTTTCATGAAAAGCTCCTGGGATTAGTTAGTGATCGGCTGACCCGAGACCCGGATTCAGGAGGATGGCGGGAAAAGACCCACCCGAGATTGCTGATTGCAGCAGAGTTGAATCGCGGCAGGAGTCAGTCGGTTGAGAATTTCTTGCAACACGACGACGTTCCCAGTGCGAGCACAGTGATGAATTGGTGTTTCCATTTCCTGCAAGGAACGTTACCGCGTGAGCTGGAAAAGTTGTTTCGCCTTGGGTACAGAAACTTCTACGATGCTCATGAGCCGCGTGACCCGAGGGCAATAACGCCTTCGACTAAGATAAGAGAATATAGGCAATCAAGAGGCTACTGACGGTTTTCGTTTCGGCGCCGACATCTCCTCCATGCGCCAGCAAGAGTCGCATAAGATCGCGATCTTCGGTCGGGTAATGTTTTTGTTTCTCGGTAATCGTCGCGGCGTAATGGAGAGAGTTCTCGCCATTCTGAAACGAAGAAACGGTGGTTTGTTAGTCGATATATTATTTCCGCCGAGACGATCCCAATCCCCATCGAGAGCGGGGGCAACGCCATTGCGGGCTCCTTACGTTGTTTCGTTGATTGGCAAGCTTGGATTTCTCGTCTTCTTCGGCATCTGGGCCGCACATTCGATCCCAGTGGTCAAGTAGAGCTTGGGCCACTTCGAAATGACAATTCGCCACCGCTACGTGTAGTGGACTTTCGCCTCGCTGAAACCCAAGAGCACGATCTTAGCAGGAACGATCGGGGCGGTTGGACCAGGGGGCGGGGAAGGAGGGGGGCTCCTAGCGCGAGGGTTCCCACTGCCTATGGTTCTTCTTGTTCTTCTAGGCGAGCCCACAAGTATCATCGAGCCCCTCTCCCGATGCGTTGACCGCCTCCTCGACGAAGAAAACGCAGATCCGCGCCTGCGTTCGGGGGCATACGTATGCGAGTTTCCTTGATGATTTGACACCTTGAGAATCTGTCCAGGACCGAGGCCAATCCTCATCCTCGTCGGTGTCTCGGTGGAGAAGGGTGAGATCAGGAGGTCGGGTTTTCGGATCATATCCCAGGAGGGAATGAAAATGGATGAATCATTCCGCATCGCTCCGCATAAACCCATCAAGTTTTTCGCTGCCAAGCCCGTCTCCCCGTAAGAATCTTCCAGCGTCGACTGGTGGAGAAGCTTTCCCGGGCACATCTCGGTAGAGAGATCCGGCTGCCGAACGAGGATTGACGCAAAGGGAATTCAAGCCAAACGTGACATTTGCTATTCGTGCGGCGTCTGACGCCCTCTGGGACGACCCGTCGACCCCTACGTGAGCTTGGCGTTCAACTCAGCTCATCACCGAGCCCGCGCAATGAAGTCAAGGGTTCGAGCTCCCGTCGAGTGAGCCAGACGAGGCACCCTCCAGGAACTATTATTTCTTCATCACTCGGATGCACGGCGTCCAGATGCAAATTACTTGACAGATCTGCTCGGAGCGAAAAGACCGCTCATTTCTACGGAACTTACTTTATTGAGCAAGTCGGGGATAGCTTTGTCGGCGAGGAGTAGCTTCACAGTCCTCAGATGTCCTTCTCGTGCGGCGAAATGTAATGGAATTTCGCCATTCTGAAAAAGGAGACGCATTTTCATCGGCGATGCCATTAGAGACTTACGTTAGAGAGATACGTTGTTTGGCACTCCACCTACCGTATCTTTCGCATTTACGGCCGCTCCGCTCTTGATAAGAAGCTCAGCGCTCTGATCGCCTCCCTTTGTCCTAGAGGCGATATGAAGAGGCGTTTCTTCGTTCTGCGTCGTTGTCAATGTTTTCGGGAGCAGAGGAGCAAGGAAGAGAAAAAAATGTGCCATGAAACTGAATGATCTCTACGGATGATGCTCGAGGCCGCGCCAGGATCTTGTTCCTCTCGACGATTGCCCCTCGAGGCGTGGGACCAGAGAGGTGTCGGGTTCCCGCAGGGAATCTCGCACACAGCTTCAGCCATGCTCTGATCGAGCCCGGCCGGAATTCATCTCGCTGCATGCATCGGGGCGAGGGATATATTTTCCGTAGAGAGGCTTCCTCATTCGGTTTCGCGTGCAGCTCCGGATTTTCGATCACTGGCGCCACCGTGCTGCCACGTGAACTGATTCTCATTCTGTTTCAGGTCGCGAGGCTCATCCCGCCTCCACATTCTCAGGCAGAACAAAACTTTGACTCACCGCTCCTGCTTTGAGCTGCACAGCCGCTCCAAAGCCTAGAAGAGTCTCGACTACTAGGGCCTGTCCGTGGGTAACTGCTATATGAAGAGCAGTGTGCCCATCCTGCGGAGGAAGAAACATTTCAGGATAGCTCGCGGGAATTTCTCCTCGTAGCGGGATCCGGCATCGTATTCGAACTCATTTCGCTTCCTTGGAGCGCGTTTTTCCAGGAAGGTGTAGTTGCAGGAATTCTTAGTCATGGACAATTGCAATGAATTAAATTTCTAATCAGATAACTCACGTTTGTTTTCACATCTACATGCTCTCCTCGTTGGAGTAGCGTCCTCACTACCTCTACAAATCCTTTCTGAGCCGCGACATGGATCGTTTTAGCGCCGGCCTAGACATTTTGAAAGGAATAGATCAATGAGTGTGCTCTCTGATTCTATGTACCCGAAGCCGGGGAAAAAAATAGTTCCGATACGTTACTTTGTTGGACATGTGGAGCGGGACGCCTTTTTTCATGAAGACTAGAGCGGCTTCTGGTCTACCGGCTTCTGCGGCGATGTGCATCAATGTTGAACCATCCTGTGGGAGGAATCGCCGGGCTTATATCGCTTCTCCGTACAACGAGGAAGGGATGCCGGGCAAAGTCCGCTGTTTGGATCCGTTTCGACGGTAGGACTCATTTCGGACTTCAGGACCGAAACAGTGGAGAAATGGAGAGGATACATCGAGTCCCCGACTTTGATAGTTTGCAAGAGCACCCTCATCCCTCGGGTGCTCGATCTCAAACACACCAAGTCTCTATACAAGCGACCAGAGGCCAATAAAAGAGCTGCAAATAACTTCTGCTCGGAGAGGCCTCTCCACTGCTCGAAATTGTTCGCCTCCGAGGAGCTGCTTTCCCTCGGTCAGGAAGGACGAATTTCGCAGCCGCGGCAGCAGCAGCTCGCTGTCCAACGAGACCGAGTAATTTTTCCGCCGGGTTCTCAGCCGAGAAGCGAATGGCACCCTTGAATCATTGCTGTGCATTAGGCCTAATGCTTCCGGAATGAATCTCTGGAGGAACTAATGTTGTTGCTTTCTTTTGATTGAGTGGGCAACTTGTTCAGACTCGTGCTGAGGGGTCTCCCAGCCATCGCCAGGATGTCCATGGCTTTATTCGCGGGAAATATACATCCTTTCTTTCGCGTGGATGATGGAAATCGGAAATAATCGACGGTCGAGGCAAAAAGAAGCGAACACGAATTATGCATGCGCAAGACGAACAAAGAGCGCCTCTCCTCCAGTCAGTGTTGCCCTGGCACCGAGGCATCGTTCGACTTTGCTCCTGCTTGTGGAACGACGGTCGATCACGGCTTAGCGAACAAGGAGCATAGAAACGCAATTAGTGGCAATGATCAACTCGTGTTCTCATCAAGAATGAGTCGATAAAGCTGTTAATGGGATCTGACATTGGAAGTGGCAGCCAGACATGCCCCTCCAGAGGCAACCTCGTTGCCTGACGCCCTTGACCCTTCACATTCCCACTCTCGCTGGTAGAAGTCCCTGGCAGAACCTTGTTCATCGCAGGCGAGCTTCTCATTCGCTCCCTAGTAATGGAGGCGAATTGGAACCTCTTCGCCGCATTCTATGGAGTGTGGCTCCCGGGCTCTCGGGCGGATCAACGCTCCTAATAAGGTTTGGAGAAAGTTCAGAGAGCTTTGGCGGGTTGGGAACTCCCATCTAAATCCTTCTATTCCCGACCGGGGATGGGGCGAGGCTTCGAACTGCGGGATAGATTTCAGTGGGCTGGGTACTAGTTGCCAGTGCCTCTCGTCGAGAGCTCCCTCCCTACCTTAGTTCGATGGTGTAGCGAGGCTTTGTACTTGTCAATCAAAAGTTCGACCACGGCAACGTTCCCTTGCTGAGTGGCTATGTGGAGGGCGGTTCGATCCTCGCTGGAACATGCCGAACGAGTAATTAGAGGAACTGCACGCTCAATACGATTATAATTATTATTGTCGGCGACGACGTTTCTCGACGACCTATGTCGCGTTCCAGCTCGCGCAACGCTACCGACAGATGATCGAAGGTTTATATCTAAAGAACGCGAAAGGATGATGTGTAGACCCAAGGGACAGCTGTACAGCTCCTCAGACTCACTTATCGATGAGATTCGGATCGGCGTTGTAGTTGTAGAAAAGTTTGACGGCGTGCTCGTCGCCTGCAACCGCCGCTAGATGAAGGGGCGTTTGTCCTTCGTGCTGGGAAAAGAGCGGGCACCGTGAGAAGTTGCGCTCTACGCGGTTGATGGCCTCCTGAAGGCTTTGGAGTGTACTCACGTTTTGATGGTTAATCGGGCTGTTACATTCCACGAGAAACCTCATGATGTCAAGGTCTTTCCGACGCGTCGCCAAGTGCAGAGCGGTGTTCCCAGTTGTTGGGTGGACGTAAGTAACTTGCTCTTTCGTGCTGACTCCCAGCAGGTCGCGACAAACGCCATGATTGCCAACTTCCACAGCCAAGAACAGTGGTATGTTGCCCTCCTGTTGAGTGAGAGGAGGGAAATTACAAAACGGCGACTGTCAAGCGAGCTAAGGGAGCAGATGCTCCCTGAGGAAACGAAGCTATCGCGAGGAAGCGAGCTGATTCCGCCGATTGTTCGAAAGACTAAAAGGAGCGCGACGTTACCCGTGTCCATCAAGTCATTAGATTATTATCGACGATCCTTCATCGGAGCTCATTCACGCAAGGATCACTTCGGGGCGGATTGCTCGTCGGGCTCTCTCTCGCGGAGGCGCGTTGTCGACGACAAACGACGGGAAGCGGGATCGCAAAAGGAGTTGGCGGTTCCCCCCTCCCCTCCGAGCCAAGTTTTATTGGTGGCTTAGAAAGGGGAGACCAGACGGAAACAGGAGAAGATTAATGGAAAGGAACGGAAACTGAACTCTGATGATTAACAATAGGAGAACTTCCCTCGATCAAAGCAGAGTTCACTGAGGAAGAATTCTACCAGAGACGGGGATCCGCTTGGGATCCGATGATTGCGGACAGCCGCTCTCTACAGCTGCGACTTGGGAGTTTTCCAGCTATTTTTGTACCAGAATGTTATATTTCTCCCCTGCCGCACTACGAAGAACAATGTCTAGAGAACGACCCAAGACTCGCAGAGCCTTATCACGATCAAGTTGTCTGCGGCGATAGTGCAAGCGAGCGCCATCAGCGGCGTCGGTCGTCTGCCTAATGTCTTTCTCTCGCCGGCGGCGTTCCCCTTATATCTGATCTGATATTGACGGCTCCGCGTCCCGTGGTACACGAGGTCGCCGTCGGCTCCCTTGATTGTCAGTTTATTTCCGTCGCAACGATAAGTTTTCATTTCCAACAGAGGCTGATTGAGTGTAGAGGCTGATCCCTCCCCGTGTTTCTCCCTGGCCGTGCTCGGGGTTCCAGACTTCGGCCCGGACAACCGTATAGACTCAGGACTTCACCCGGACACAGACAATGACGAAAAGATGAGAGAATTATTGAGATCCGCGTGTACCTTGTCCGGCATGAGCCGCACATTCTTGTCTCCAGCTCGAAGTAGCAACTGCAAGGGTACGATTGCGGCGCCGGTCGCTCGGGAGCTTAGTACATGTAAGGGCAGGTGCCCTTTCGTCTGGAAACAAAGTTTCACATGAGTTCTCTAAGCTCCGATGTGACCGAAAATCGCTTAGGAATTCAATTCGGCATACGTACATTTTCGGTGATCGCTGGGTCAGCCTTTCGATTCAAGAGTAGTCGGACCATGTCTTCCCTGACATGATAAGCTGCGAGGTGGAGCGCGGTTTGTCCATCCTGGAAAGCAACGCGTCGAGTGTTAGAGGGTTTTCCGAGCAACGAATTCGGGGTTTTCACGTTGAGCGCTCTAGTGGCCGATCAAAATCGCTGCTCCCATTCTCTCGCGAGAAACGCGCACTTCGCCAATAGCTGTCGCAGCAGGTTCTCCTGTCCCCGTCCATTCATTGGCGGCCGCTGATGATCTTATGATGAATGGCTCGAGACTCAGTGCGAATACCCTTCCGCAAAGTTCTACTCGTTCACGCATTTATTCTCGCGGCCTCCGTTTTCGTGTCTAAGGTGCATTGGACAGTTACCTCTATGGCAGAAGGCCGCGTCACGCTCACGGATTTGCCTGATCACGCAGCTTGGAAATGCTGGTAGGGAAAATAATACCGGCTTCGTCGTGGAAGACCAACGTGGTAGGGCCCGCTCTCATGGACCGGCATTCCTCTCGTAGACGGGCAAGCAAGGTGTCCCCGGGCTACTTCTTCCGGCCACACACATCGAGCACTCAAGTTTTACCGAAGACGCAGCAGTTCTTCTACGGAGAAATCTTTTTGAGTCGCAAGTCCCCCTTCGTAGGCCCCTTTTCGAACAGAGACGTAGCGTCATCGATAGAGTCATTTAGCATCGCACAAACAACCGCATACTCCAGTTCCCCACCGGGGAACTCTCGCAGAGGGGGATCTGTCATCTGCGATCCGATACCCCGGAGCACGGCATCGTCGACCCGAAAACGAGTCTTCGAAGACTTAGACGGTGTTCCTCATGGAAATCTTTATTCGTTCAAGACTTATTGTCTAGAGAATGCAGGTTCAGACGAGTCCGTCGAGCGGGAGGGAACAAATAATTGATGATGCAAACGATGGCCTGCGGTCAAGGTGAATTGAAGCTCAAAAAATGCGCAGCCTTGTCTCGCTTTGACGTCATCGATGTCCCTCGGCTCCCCGACGACGAAAAATTCGGCGCAAGGTCATGGAACGAGAACGGCTTTAGAGCACGTGCGCCTGTAGGAACCTCTCGCTCCTTCTCCAAATACAAGCTTCAGCGCAGCGAACAATCCCCGGTGCCAAACATAGCAGACGCCGTGGAAGAGCCGAAATCGCAGTATACGTACGGGTGAACCGAGTGGGGGCGCTGCGAATCGACCTCCATGGTGTCAGTAACGTTGTCCTGACAAATTTTGGGGGCTAAGCTATCGCCGAAATTCGCTGTGTTCGATTTGGTGCTTTCAGCTTCAAGCTCCGACGAGGCGCGCGACGAGGTATGTGAGCATAGGTGAACGGCGGCTTGCCGCTCTCTGTAGGAATCTGTTGATTTCTGGAGCATTTGGAACACCTGAGGAAGGATTACCCGACAACCTCTCTGTTGTGGCCCGAGAGTCGCTTTCGAATGTTTTCATCGAGCAGTAGGCGTGCGGGGATCTCTCCGAGTTAGTCTTTGCCGTGCCAGCCAGAGGGGATCGATAGGAATTTCCTCTCGTAGAAACTTGAATTGCGTCATCGTTCAAAGCCATGACTCTTCCGTGAACACCCAATCGAGCCACCCTCATCTCCTATCGGACTAATCCCGAGGAAAGAGATTAGGAATCCGCGAAGAAAATCCCGAGACGTGAACGGCAGCTCAAGGGACACGAAGCGCCGAGTCTCTCCGGATCCCCATGAAATCGGTCAATCAATCAATGTCCGAACTGGAAGAGCTGCGCCGTTGGCAATCTCCTCTTGACGCTGGTACTCTTCACGAATTCCAGGCCAAGATGACCGCCACCCGACATTCTCCGTTTCTGGGGACCTCTCTCGTGTGGACGGATTATCGCACTGGAGCCTCCAGCTTGGACCTGCAACTCACAGGTAGAGAATTCAACGAGATAGGTAGCTTGCTGATTTTTCCGTTTCACGTAACGGCAGATCCTCGATAATGAGATATCTGCGTTCCTTCCGTTCGCGCGCGATCTGTTCCTCCGCGCAATCCCACGCTGAAGGCTCAGAGGCCTCGGGTCGACTGCCGTAGTGGATCTTCCGCCGAGCAACTGCGCGGGGAACTGAGCATTCCTTCTCTTCGCTCAATCTCGCGGGGAAGCATCGAGAGATCAAATGTCTTGTCGTCCTCGGGCTCGGACGCGCAATCCAATTCTCTTGTTCGTGGGCCGTAGTTCCATTTCCCGTTCCGCAAGCAACGGGCGCTGCTGGTTGACAACCAACGCAGCCCGTCAGTGACAGACTGCATGCCGGGGCCTTCGGCGGGAAACTCGGACGAATGGGCGAGTGCGAGACGCGTAGAAGGGAAAAGTTGGCGGGGATCCGCGCCTTGTCAAATCGTAGAGCTCCCAACGATGTCCGAACGCCTCAGTCGACCGCTCAATGCGCTCTGGACGAGGACCGGCCGCCGCGGCGGCGGCGGCATCACCCGCGCTCGCTCGCTCGCTTGAGAAGAGGGAATGGCGGAGAGGGATAAGGAAAAGGAGGAAGGCAATGGAGAAAGGAGTTCTTCCCGCGCGTTGTGGCGGCAGGCCGAGCTTTTGCTTCATGTACAGCTGCATAAGCGACGGTAGAAACGGTCCACGGCTCAGTCCGGCCCCAACCGCCCATTGCGCGGCGGTTGGCGGATAAGGTTTTCCTCCAGCCGAATTCCGGTGGAGTGTTCGCCCAGGATGCCGACTCCATGGTGATGCAACATCTAAAACAGCAACTTGTCCTGAAGTTGCACACCTTACGCCTTTCAGGCCGCAGGCCGGAGAGTCTTAAGACGCCGATTTCCCCGACACATGATAACAACGCAACACCGCAACCCCGAAGGTGCCTCAAGAGCGCTCCGCAAACGCCCACCAAGAGCGGTCAACCCAAAAAGATTGTCAAGTTCGCCGACGACATGGGACTCGATCTAACGGCTGTCAAGGTCAGTGGTCTTTGTGATTTGCATCTTGTTGGCAGCCTCCATCGGAACAAGTCGATGCCGCGGCTACTGTCATGCGACATAGTCTGTGGATGCTCGTTCGTGTTAGAGAGAAGAAACGAGCAGAGAGCTTTTGATTTTTCTTCCAGGTTATGGTTGCAACGCCCCCCTCGCAAAGTCCTGAAGAACCAGCTACCCCTGCAGCAGTTCCCTCTGTCACGAAAGAGCCCGCGAAACCCGCCATAGTTCACTCGAAAGAATATCTCCCCGCACGAAACATTAGGCTCGAAATCTGCCAATCAACAGGACGTTACCAAGCGAAATTCGAGCAACCAGGTGTGTAGCCCGCCGAATGCGATGAAGTGACTGTTTTACACCGTAGGTCGCCGTTCCAGCGAACTCTGTTAATTTCAGGTGCCACACCTAACTTTTGGACGCGTGTCCGAGCCCAGAAGGTATGCCTGGAATCGGTGATCGCCAGCTACAATTCTTCAGTGCACATAGTTATCCGGGTGGTGAACGTAGCGTTCCGCAAGCGCGTGCTGTTGCGCTACACCCTCAACAATTGGGGCACGTTCACCGACCTCGAAGCGGACTACATGCCCGAATGTAAAGACCTGACGAATTCGGCGACCGACCGATTTTCAGTGAATTTGTGCCTCAAGAGCTCGCCACGCTCTGTACAGTTTTGTGTGTGTTATCAAGTCGACGGCAAAGAACACTGGGACAACAACAACCACCAGAATTACCGGATGGAGTTTGAAGAAAACCAACAGCCCACGCCTTTCTACTAGGACCCCTACACAAGCAAGGTGTACAGCAAATTTAGGATTCAGTTTCTGCTCTAGCAGACCCGCCAGACATACCCTCACGAAGCCGCAACGAAAACTGCAGAAAGAATGTCACCGGCGAAAGCTCTCAGGCGAAAGAGTTTGTGTTTGGATTCCGCCGGGACAGGTGATTTCCCTCGACTTATGAAGTCGGAACCGAGAAGATAAACAGAGACACTCCTGGGGTCGAGTGGCGGAGGAGCCCTGTCGGAGAGAAACTTTATCCTTGCGTCCTTTTCTGTTGTTCCTCGTCGCAAGGTACGTTTCGCGCTGCTCGGATCAGATACCGAGTAATAAGCATCGTCGAGTCGGTCGTCCAGACCGGGAATATCGGCCCCGGGATTCTGTCTTCTTTTCGCCACAAGCTATAGATCGAATTACATATTGCGGATCTTTGCTCCCCGATCCACATAGAAGAAGTTCGCCGTCCGAAGCTCTCGAACGGGGGCTTTTGGGTAAAGCGTGCCCTGTCGGTTGTGACCGATCCCAGTCGAAGCATTCCGAGTTCTTCATCTTGTCATCCAATAGATGAGAAGAACTCCGAGACGTCGGGACCGAGTCCCGCTTCTAAGACAACGATCGCCAACTTGCGGAGTGTATGAGATGTTGCATTTTCAATGCTTGTAATTTGCTGCATGGATCATGAATGCCGATTGGGACATACGGACAGCGATAAATGGCTTTTCGAGTCGCGGCACGTACCATGTCCCGCCTCCGGAACTATTACGGAACACGGAGTGTGCGCCTCCGATACTGACCGACTGTTTTCGAGTCCGTTGCGATATAGGAGGCGGGAATGTAAGCAAAAAGTACAACCGACTGCCCACCGAGTCTTCGCGGGTTAGGAGCGAAGGTGCAATAATCAGAAATTTTGTTGAGCGGCTCTCGCAATAGTCAGTCCGTGGAACAGGACAAAGCTCCGGTTCTAAGCCTCCTAACGGGACTATGCAACAATTGAGCCAGCGGAATTTTCGTTGCGGCGCGCATTCCCATTTTAACTTTTTCAATCCGTACCTCAGGAAGGCGTGAACGGTCACGAGAGGAAAATGATGTGTAAATCCGTATCTGATGATGACTTGAGGAGATGGCTGTACCTCAAACGAATGATCTCGTGATTGCGGATCCCGCAGCCGCAGAAAAAACACCACGTATATTTTTGAAGTGTTACATGAAATGACGAACGAATCTACCATAGCAATCTACAGACGCTTAGCGAACGAGAGGATGAAATAATAAACGAATGTTACTAGCTGCAATTCACTCGAAACGACTGTGTCTTCATCTAGGAGGGCGTTTTTCACATCTGGGGGAATCGCGAACACAGATTTCGAGAGACACGATTTCCTTCAAGATCCACGGTTCTCACGCGATTCATCCGCTGCTCCCATTGCTTTTTCCGATTCCGACTTTCTCCCTCTCGTCCCTCCCAAGGCGTCCCTCGTTGCAGCTCCCAATACCATGGGGCTTTGCATAAACACATTCGCGTGCACGGAAGTGACTCGGTCAGAGCTTTCTCTTGTTGGAAAGCTAATCACAGAGCGGGGATTCTCTCATGGAGCGAAACATTCTCGACGAGCGGAACAAAGAGAGGACAAAAAAAAGGAACCGAGCACAGAGGAGACTCCCCCGGCCCCCTCTTTGCCGTTTCCTCCTCTACGCCCATCCGAGGGAGGAGTGCTCATGCTGTGCCCGTGACTCGCTCAAGCTATCGCTCTGTGAGTCTTGAGTGAATGGGCATCGAGCATCGTTCGCCCGGGGACCGTACACTGGCAGTGAGAGGGGGACGCAAGGAGGAGGATTGCGTAGCACATACACGCTATCAGACAGGAACTCATCATCGGAGTGTCGGTTCCCATGACCCTTGGCCAGGCCAAGTGGAGCATCGCGGAATCATTCCCGCTGCGGTCCCCATCGATCTGGAAACCAATCGACGGATGACTCACCTTCGCTCGGGCGTTGACGTTCTGTCCGATATCGAGGAATTTATCAGCTATCCCTACTCTGCTGTCCTTCACGGCGTACATTAGGGGTGTGAAACCGGTTGTCTGGAATGAGATGATTATTCATTGAAGTACATGTCATTACCTCGTTCCTTTAGGATTTCGCAAGGACATCCTAGTCCCCGTTAGGGAGGATTGGTATGAAGGATCGAATTTTCGCTACCGTCAAGATCTTTTCCAGCTCATTCGCTTCATGGGTCTTTGTCGGTGCGATCGAAGATTCCGGAATGAATCATTTACGCATTGGCTCGTGAGGGAATTGAAAAGTTCGAGCTCGCAAGAACTCCGGCGTTCCTCTGATCATAATTGTGGCTACTCCTACGTCTACTCGTTGGATTAGTCTGGCCAGATTGCATGCTCTCTGGCCAGATTGCATGCTCACTCTTCTCCTTCCCCTGGCGAGAGCTGCGAGAAAAAAGACCAGGGATAGCGCACAGAATCGTGCGGAAAATCGTATCAGGATAAGTTTCCTCAGATTAGAAGTCTTCTCCGGCCATCGATGGTTTCCTTGCGGGGACGGTCAAATCTAAACGCAATCGTTCTTCGGCGCTGTATACTCTCTCGTGACCCCCTTTCGACGGAATACATTTCAGATTAGGCTCTGCGGGAGGATGCACTACCCGGTAGTGAGACCGGTAAGCCGAATCCGAATTCCGACCTGAATTATTGGAATTTCCCACACATCCCCGTTGCCTAATCGGAAGGACAAGGACTTGTTCGGAGCTGTTCCCCGAGTTCTAAGCTCGGTCGCACAAGCTGGAATCGGGCCCTAGTGCAATCACGCTCGAAAGCGGAAAGTCCATAATTATTCTGCCCAGGAATGACCGGCAAGAAAAATATGTCGGAAACGAGCCCGCTTTGACCCACTGGCCATTGCTGGTATGAAGAGCACAATAATAGAGCGTGGGTACAGGTTTCAAAACGGGTCAGACGTGCCTGCCAACTGCGACTATATGTACGCGTCGGCCCATGCGTTGAATAATTCATAGAGGCATCGAAGAAGGTGCTGCAACGTCGGAGAGCAAACGTGAGGCATTTGCGACGTCTTCTCAGGGAGACTCTTTCGATTCACACAGTTCGTGTGCCGCAGTCGTCTCTGTTGCCTGTGGAGAATGCCACTCCCAGGTGGAAATAGCGCCATCAACAAGCAGAATGACAAAGAGAGAGCCGTCCGCAACTCGGACGACTTATACTCCGGCCATTGCCGAGATTCCTTCCTGCCCCCCAGTATTGCGACCGAGTTATCCCGCAGGTCATTCGCAGCTTGAAAACACATTAGATCGGTAGGACGTGCAGTGGGTCAACGCACGTATGTCCTTCGCGCCGTCGACTCGTACGAAGATGGATGATTGCAAATTTCAACCAGCTTTCGACGAGGCTCGCCAAACTTTCGAGATATCTAGCGCCCTGCTGAAAACTCAAGGTGTTCTCCGCGCGAGAGTCGTTCATCTCTCGCAGTTTCCCGCCATCGTCACGGGGCGCTGCTGGAATAGCTGCCAACGTCCCCTCTGGATATTGAGAGTCGAATGCGATCGTACGAAAGAGGGCATCAACTGAAGGCGGCGGATATGGAGGAGCGGTACGTTTCCTCGTGCCACGTCGTACTATGTATATGGGTGTTACGCGAAATCGTGCACGAAGATTCATTCTATGATGATTGGGAGAATGCAGCCGGCGTGACGATGGTGCTCCTCGGCCCTTCGTGCTATTCGCGGCTAAGTGTCCTCAGCAGTTTATTGGGCTCGAAAGCTCTTCATAGCCGGATAGATAGAGGAGACTCTCCAGAACACATTGCTCAATATAAGCCTCGGATGTTCTCCCGGGGAGAAACTTGCTAGCCGATAGTATATCCGTTGCGAGGGCGGGCGGATAGCCGAAAGAACGCTCCGTCCGTCCCCGAAACCCTCTGTCAATACGGTACATCCATATATGACGAGGTAGGGGTCACGTGTCCGAATTCCCAGTAGTCGATTTGACGCCGCCCAGCAGGCTTCGAACTCTTCAAAATTCCACTTATCAGAGGCCGAATAATTTCCGTCAAGCATTTCAAGGTCATGTCGCGCTTTGCATGGAGAGGGCAAATCAACTAGGATGATTGGCAATCGGTCCGAGCTGTCAAGGACGACTTCACCGTCGGCCATTTCGATAGCAGCGACCGAGGACGGCGACTCCGTTCGAAATATCGCCGAATCGTTCTCGACCGATGGGTCGATCTCGAATGGCAACAAAGCGACGGCGACGTACAGATGAAGCTCTACTGTGGTCCTCGACGTCGAATAGGAGCCGGACGCGGCCGTTTTTCCTTGCATCCCTCATCAGGCCACCATTTCGATCGAGATACAGCCCGATTGACAAGGGTAGAGCTCTTCGATATCGTCCACGAAAAAAACATCCGGGATGAGAGATGGTCAGCGTGAACGGCCAAGTGCAAGAGACCTCAAGATGAGCTTAGGATACCGGAGAAGAATAAATGGGGGCGTGCTCTGTCATGGGGTAATGGATCGCGGATTGGGTTTCGCCGTTTGAGCGGCTCCGTCCGTCGGTCCTACGTCGGGTTGAACGCGTGCCCCCTCCGTCCAATCCATGGAGCGGGACTCGGAGTAAAGGAAAGCGAGAGAAAACTAAATTGATTTCTCCAGGCGCAGCTCGGCTCGCTTGCTCTACGCAACCCGCAAAAACGGAGCTGGCGGAGAGTATTAGGCCATTGGGGATAAAACGAGGGGAACGCGTTCGGAAAAGGATCAAACGAATACATGTAACGAGGGCTTCGTGGCTGCGATAACCGTTCGAGACTGTGCCGCGCTCCGAGTTTCGATCCGTCGTTATTCCTCCAAGCCGGAAATGCAACAGCATCAGAGCTCGGCTGGGAAGTTTCCCAGCGAGAGTTCCTCCCACAGAAAGAACCTTTATCGAGGTTCTTCCTCTCAACAGGGGGAGGGGGGAAGTATCTTCAGATTCTCGTACTCAGAAGCGAGCTGCACCAGAACCCAAAGCGAAGGCCTTCGACCCTACGGCCTCGGAACCGAGAGGTCCCTCGCGAACGGCAATGATAAATAATCATGGGAGCAACCTGACCTACGCCCTAGTCTGAATCGGCCGGTTCGCCCTCCCGCTCCATTGGTAGCGTTCGCATGACGCAACAGAACCGCTGCACTCGAAGGACGACTTCGAGAGAACAGAATCGCTAATTGAACAATCCAGTCGTTGGGAGACTACATTTCACTTTGAATTAATTTTATCACGGGACCTGACGCATCTGCCCACGCCGGGGACCGGCGAGGGAGTTTGTGGGATTCGCCTCGTGATCTATCGATAATCTCTCGCTGCGTGCAGACAAAATAGCGCAGGACAGGAACGAATCCAAACGGGGATATTGATGACGCCAGAGCTCGTGTCGATGATGAATTCTGTGATTCTTGTATAAGCTGAGCTCACTGGAGCGCAGACATAAGGCAGTCTGCTTCGCCTGTCTCGCAATCTAATGATGCGATCAATTCGTTTGAGGGAGCAGACGCTGGATGAATGGCTGCGTCGACGTAGCGCCCGCTCGCGGGTACATTCGCCCGGGAACGAAGGCCCCAGATCAATGGGAATGATGAGGGGAAAAAATCGGTTAAGAATCCCTCTTATCGGTTTCTGGGTTTTTCCAATGCCATACGGAGCATGGAACTCTTTATAAAGGCTATCCCGGGGACGTTTCGAAAGATCCACGAGTTTTCCGAACGGTCGGGACGGGACGCCGATCGGGTAGCTCGCGGCGCGGCATCTCAGCAACCACAGAGGTGAAGCCTGGAGAAAGCGCAAATCGGTCCGCGCTACGGATATCTATCGGTTCGCCTACTGCGTTCTACTCGAGCGTTCGTCAGAATCCGGAGAATGGAACGAGAAAGGAGCCCGCTAGCTGTCAAAAAGACGGAAAAAGATGAACGGGTGTTATGAAACGAGCATCGTTCAAAAATTTATGTCCCGAAAACTCGGCCTTCTGCCCGAGTCGCTCCGCTATCGGAAGGCTCGATTTCGCAACACGGCTCATCTCTCTGGGCGGCGAAATCCCCCGTCCTCACCCCTCACGTCTGAAGCTGGTTATTGTCGGCTGACCATGTACTTCCAAAATATCTCGCCGACGGGAGCTCCGCAGCCTGCTGGGGACGTGCTCCGTCTGCCGCTTGTCTCCCGCCCGGGATGGAATACCATCGATATCGAAGCACATCCACGAAATGCTTCGGAGGTTTTGATTGTCGAGCAGTGAAGCTTCGCGTCCCGCTCGCCTGACTCCCTCCAAACAGCTGTAGAGTGCGGTGATCATCGCAATCACAAGTTCGGCGAGCAGGTACGCTCTGCCGATTCGACCTGGAATTGACCTCTACAAGGTCCAACCACGCGCATCTGTAGTCTGTGATAAGTTTCCGACCGAGGGTTTTCGCGAGATATCTCGGGTCGCTGCGATGAATCGGTCGAACGGACCTCGCCGATACGGTGGAGAGCTGAGAAGCTCTGCGATCAGACCGACTCGTTCGGCTACAGGTCGATGCCCGGAATAGCTTTCGCAAGGTAATTCATTTATTAAGATGCAAGCATCAAACCATCTCCGCAAATTAGATCTTGCCGGAATCGGGTCAAAGACCTGCTACCCATCGAGTCGACAGCACGTTCGATTGGTATGGCTTTGAGATGGCTTCGATCGCTTTGGGAATCCAGCCGCGGAATAATTCCAGATATTCGACCATTATTCCTCAGACGGCTCGATGGGTTTTCCTTCGTTGCACAGACGGAATATGCTCGCACTCAAGGCATCCAGAAGGCCCCGCTGGGGAATAAACGACGCACTTGACTCTTATAAACTCACCTCATCGGCTAAATCGTGTGGCAAGGTATTCTTTTCGCAATGTTTCAGTAGAGCGTCTACTCCTAACCAATCTCCTCGTCGAGACATGTTCATTATCTTCACGCATAGTTCAGCGTGGTCGCATTGACCGGCCCATGTTGCTCCTGTTGAAGAAAAATCAATTTCGAAATCATTGCTCCTCTATTAATCGGATTGATCGCTCAAAGGGAATCACTCCCCGGACCTCGGGTCGTCTGTCTGACCACGCCGAAAAACGGTCCATGTCAGAAGCTCGAACGATTCGTCCAGATCGGAGTAATTTGTAAAATCGTACAGCTGGACGGTCGGAAGCAGCGCGTCACGATTTTCGTCAGACAGAGACCCGGAGGCTGACAGGCTTTGTGTTTCGGAGGCGCGAGGCGACCGAGGAATCCCAAGCTCCGATTGATCGGCAGGAGGGCTCTGCCCCCTTGCGAAGGGCTTCGGTCGCAGGAGATGACGAGGATTCGCAAAAAATCGAATCCGAGTGAAAAATGGGAGGCGCTCCCAGAGATATTCTTCGCATCCCGCCTACAGATCCACGGTCCCCGGACTTCGGTCGTACCGCACGACTCGTGCATTGCATCCAAAGCTCAGGACGGCTCAGATGGAGCGTCCACAAGGGGTTCGGATGCAGGTGTCCCCTCGCGCGAGCGTCAACTCCTGCAGTGTTCCTTCAATCTGACAATGGCTCCTCGACATTGCATTTCTCTCGTTCAGGGGAGAGGTCAAGACCATCATCCCTGGGTGCTGGGGCTCTCTCGATGAGTCGATGCTGGAGGCGACATAGCCCTGCAGGGTCTCGACACGAACCTACCTTTTTGGGACATTTTAGCTCGTTCTTTCTCCAGTTTTTCTCTTTCTTCGGGCGATAGATTAGCGTAGGGGTCTTCCTCGGGCTCGTCGTTGATTTCCTCTTCCTTTTTCCGCTTTTTTCGTCTTTTTTTCCGTTCTCCCCCTCCTTCGGGTGCTTCTCCACCCTCTCCGCCTGGCGGAGTAAAGAGTTCCATTAGACGGTTTGGGCAGCAACAGAAAGAAATTCACCGTCCCGACTCGGACATATTCCCGCTGGTGGGTCTATGCTCAAACTCAAGAAGCGATCGGTGAATCGTTATCGATGCGGAAATTTCCATGAACTCACCTTCTTCATGTTCGTCATCGGTTTCTTCTTCGGATGATTCGGTTTCGTCTTCGTCATCTTCCTCTTCCTTCCTTTCTTTTTCTGCTCGTGCCATCTGGTACTCGTGGTTCTCCACTATCTCGCTAACAATCTGTTGAGAAAATGAACCTTGAGAATATGTGCGTCGCAATGGGGGCCATTTCGTTTTGTTCTAGGAAAGTTTCGGAGAGCAACTCCACCATCATGCCCTCAGAACGGGTCTCTCGCGGCCTCGCTTCGACGTGGAGACCGACATCATAATTGAATAGGGCATTCATAAGAAGCGAGTTTCGTCCCGACGTCTACATGGACCCCGGAGTTTGGCACAAGTCGACTCCGTGGACACCTTGCTCGCTACGTCCGGAACTAATGTCGAGAAGCCCTAGACTCCCCCACGAGGAGTGTTTCCCTCACAATGAAAATTTCAATGCGCCCAACATAATGCGCACGAAACTCCTCTGTAGAGCAATAATAATTGATCGATTCACGAACCTCGTTTATGAAATCCATTTTCATGACAGGGCGTTCGTTCGTTGGAGAAGGAGACATGGCGGAACACACGCGGTGAACGTCAAAAGGTCACCGTTTTCCCGAAAGTGACGAAAAGCACTCGACAAGTGGGCAACTCCGTACTGGGCAGCTCGGTCGATCCGTCTATGAGACTAAACAGCGTCGGAACGAAGCTCCGCGATTGGCTTCGCCAACAACGGGTCGCTTCCATGCTCTAGTGGCTCCCCGGCCATTGGAGCTCAGGTACCGTGAAACCATCACATGGTCTTCGGCCCTCGACCCGCGACCTTTTTTTTGAACTCAAACCGCAGGACAGAAACGACGTCGCGATTCGCGGCCAGATTCGCCACCGAAACGATATCTACACTCCGCTGACGAGCGAACGAGCCAATATCGTTGAGTACGGAACCGATACGGCAGCTTGCGTGTCCTCGATCGGATGAAACGACTTAGCGTCGACCAAGCTCCATCTCCGGGCTTAGAAACGAGTCATGCGTATACGAAATGTCGATTAGCGATCGACTTTGATTTTTTCAGAAGATGCGGCGACGATAGCCGATCTCGAGTAGCCGTCTCGGATGGGAGTCCGTGGTTTTGAGAGTGTAACCCTGGTGCGAGCCTCAACTTCGCGAACTTTCTTGATTCCGAGAACTTCTGAATCATCTAAAGTTTCTTCTCGAGTCCCAGAAGGTGCTTGACGTCAAAGGAACTCTGGATTGCTCATGACTACGTAGGAACTTTTCCGTACTCAAACTTTGAGACGAGCGCCCGACGCTCTGCACGGATCGAGTCAGATTCGGGTCCTCGGACGCTTCAGAAGTAGCTATATACAAAAAAGGAGTATTCGGGCTTCTGTTACTACGGCATCGCCAACAACGTCAATCGTCCGCTCTACCACGGGCGGGTGACCACGGACATTTCTCCGAAAATTGCTCATATCTGAGCGCCTCTTATCGTAGAGCTTTTAATCAGCAAATGCGCTCGCGATGTGCCCCGAATGTCGGTCGGCGCCGCGCTCTCGCCCACACCGGACTGCGCCTCAGTATTTCACGCTGCGCTCCTGTTGAAGATGAAACGATTCGGGATGCCCGAAACAAATTTCCGGGAATGCTCCAGCGACCTGAGCGGGACGCTATGCCGCGTCACGCAACCCCGGCCACTTCCACGATTCGATTCCACGGACTTTCCCGGGGAATTGACGTTCAGGAGACAACCCTTGAGAAAACGGGCTGACCCTTTCGGGGGTCAAGTAACCGTCACGTGTGCTGGGGGAGGGGTCCGGAGAGCATGTGCATTTTTTGCAAGCGCTCTGCTCTACTCCAATGGCGCACCTAGGGCAGTCATCTGGGGTCAGCGAATTTCATGTAAAACTCCGAGGCTGCCCATCGATGCATGACATGCTAGGGACGGCCATCTTCGACAATGGCATCCACCGTCACGTCTCGACAAAATACAAAGCGCTCCGTGATCGGCCAGCGCCTCATTTAGATCGAGCTCTACACATACCCTGATGTTGCAGTCCCCTGCACGATGGGCACCGAGCATTTTTTGTGGGACACGGCGCTCTGGCTTCCTCTCCAGGCGTGCGCGCCCCGTCTATCCTTCAACGAGGCGCTCGCTTTATTTGTCGCATGAGCGTTTCAGCGTGGACAATGAAATTAATAGCCCAAATGTTGAAGGTCGCCGCCGACCGCGTTCGAGCCTCGCACTGTTCCTAATCTCGATTCGAGAGGAATCCAACTCGTGGTATTTCGTCAGAGCGCCGCGCTTTCTGGACCGTCGACTTCGCAGCCAGGCTCTGATCAGCCTCTGGCTCTCTTCCACAGATGGCTAATTGCCGATTTCGATTGGTGGGACTCGGACAAATATCGAGATAGCCAGCAGCTCCGCTTGACTAAATCCGAGCGTGGAGAAAATCGAGCGAGGGAAGAAGATCGGGCCTTTCGATTGTGAAGGGTGGAACCTTCAATTACCAACGCTACGCTAACCATGGAGTCTCTTTCAGCGAATCGCGTGAGTACTCTTCCAGAGAAAAGAAGCTCTAGGGAATCGTCGCAGAGGGAGTTCTCCGAAAGCGATCGATCGCGATAAATAGTTCGTTCCAATCTCCCCCGGAATCTCCCCGAGTACCCTTCGTCATTGAAACGCCTTGGGGGGCTCGGCCAACATACCCAAGCCGTACTGTGCCGCTGGGGTTCGCCCCGAAGTCGAGATATTATCAGAATGCGGTCGGATCGGTTTCGTTCAGGCTCAGGCGGATTCAGTGACCGAGAGTTGGTCTGCCGAGGGGTCTAGACTCCGGTTCCGGCACGCGTGGAGTCTTCCTTCGGAACGAGCAATAGCATTCTCTTTAGAGTTTCCAAACTCTGGATTTCTCCTCCATGGCGAACTTTAAACTCCATTCGCTCTCCGAACACCAATCTGATCCGCCCTCCACTCGTGATAGGAAGACATTTGCCGACAGTTTTCGGGTCAGGGAAACAGGCGCGCTGTGGATAAGCTTGAGGACATAGTGCATAGGGAAAGTATCATACTACGCAGAGTTTCCGGAACTCTAATATCTGGCTTACGTGAAGTACTTCACCGACCTTAGTTCCTACGCAATAGGTGGAGCCTAAGGAGCCTTTGACTATGGGAGGACTTCGATAGAGAGAAACATGATGTCTTACCTGTAGAACAGAGTTATCTGCTGGATAGCTTGAGGAACCGGGCTGAGACGACGTAGAAAATACGCCACCTGTGGTGCTGGGAGGCACCAGCGCATTTCCAGAGATCTGCTTGGCGCTGGCGCTGATGATTGTGGCTTGGTGAGATCCTGTTCTCTTAACGGTGGAATCCTTGGCCTGAGAGAATGCCGCTACTCCTGGTGGGGGCAGACTCGATGAGCCGACCATAAGTGGCGATGGTGAAGTCTGAAGTGGACTCGGATGAAGTGGATCGACTAAATGACGGGGTTCAACGATGACTTCTAACGGGCCGTCGTGACCTCCTTCTTCGGGAACGCTCGGCATCAGCTCAGCTGTGTCACCTAAGCTGTTCTTCCGCTTTCCGTCTTTTTTGCTCTTCTTCACAGATTTCGCTTTGGCACCGATCGGCGATGCCTTCTTTTCCTTGGATTTGGATTCGTCTTTCTTCGAGGGCGGATTGCCGTTCTTCTTGGACGCGATCCCGTTGGCTTTTTTCGAGCTGGAGGACGACGACTTGGCATTGCTGAGCAGCGGGGCTCGGTCATCGGTCGGAGACATGCTACTGCTAGCGTCGCTAGGCGAATCCCGCTCACCGTTTTGACTCATCGTGTAAGCGGAAGGCACGTTTTTCACATCTCTATGCGGAGGGAGTCTCGGTCGGCTTAGCTCGTCTTCGAACGACACAATGACATGATCGCGGCTGCTTCGCAGGTGCCGGTGATGGTGCTGACGTGCCACCTGCGTTTCCAACTGCTGCAGCAGCCGGATCGGGTCTGTGATGGCGTCCTCGTCGGCCAACGGCCAGGGCTCGCTATGAGTGACCTGGCCGGTGGAACTGCCCGACGACGAGCGTCCTTCTTGTTGGCTGAACAGATCATCCATGACCGGAACTAAATATTTCACCACGTGAATGAATCAACGAATGCCTTATACAGCACGCCTCATGAATTTTGCGCGCTGCGGCCGCCGATCTCGGTGGAAATTCGCCGGGGTTTTGTCCTCTTGCGTCATTTGTCGCCCATCGGCGTCGTGCGTCATGCGTCGCTCCGCCCTACACCGAGCGATGTCTTGCTGCGGAAACGCGTTTCTCCCGTTTCTCGAGTCGATGTGCAGATTCAGAAGTCGTCCGGGACGCGGGAAAGGTCGAATCGGATCGTGAGTTGCTTTTAAAATGCACGGTCTCAACCGTAACGCTCACCGATGCCGGTGGTGCGTGGGGAGAATATCGCTTAAGGTCCGAGCTTCGGTTACACGGGATCAGTGCAGACTCGAATTCTGAATTGCTGCTCGCCTGCGAAGAGCTTCACGATTGAATCCGGCGAAATTTATTCCTCGTTGTTGTGAGAGCACGGCTTAGTTCCCTCGCTAAGCTGAATTTCGTTCCACTATCGACCGGACCCTGTATGAGATGGGGACGGGTTTGGTTTTCGAGGAGAATCGTCTAGCTTCGGGGTCTCCGAACGAAATTGAGGAGGAAGATCCACTTTCAGACACGGTCGGGGGCCAGCGTTCGGTATTCCGTCGGGCACTCACACACTGGTAGATTTCGTTACGTCTCAAAGTTCCGAGTAACAACAGAAACGTAGCTATTCCACTATGTACTTCCTTGGAAAGATTGAGCGGTGTGGGATTTTCCAGAAGAACAATGTGATGATGTAGGAAAACTTGTGGACAAATCGATTTCTCGCTTCGTGGAATCCCCAACAAGTATACGAACGAACGGACGAACGAACGAGTGCTTGAGCGCACAGCCGCCGCAGGGTATCACGGAATGAAGAATTGAATTTTCTCCGGAGTAGAACCTCGAGGAAAGGCTTTCGAGGAGTTTCCTTCGTTTTGCTTCCAAAGGTTCGGCGCTCCGGTGTTTGGTGGTATCCTAGAGCTCACTCTCGGTGCGGTCCGCGCTCACGAGTCCTCTTGCTCTCGAACAGTCGAGTGAAGTTCCTGCGGTTCGAGGCCCGCTTTTGGTGTGATTGTGGATCTCTGGGGCGGCAAGAGGACGCCCCGTGGGTGACAGATGGCCACTCTAAGTCGGACTTATTTCGCGCACTTAGCGATTCTGATCACGTGCTGCCTGGTGTCAATGACAACAATGATCACTTTACGTGCGCAACTTTCTTGATTTCTCTATCCGGTCTAATTCGTCGACTCGTACCTGCGGCGCCCTACCCAGAAAGTCTTTCCTCGTAGAGTTGCGAGCGAGCCGTTGGTGATCCGGATGGCTCCTCGGTGACTTAATGAGGAGCGAATTAATAGAGAGCGAGCGCGCACCGTGGGGCAACCATGCGTTCCGACACCACCTTCGTCGTTCGCCGTGTGGGAATTAATAAACCCGCTCCGATCCTCGTTCAGCACGGATGAGCTCTCATCTTATCAGGATATCGGGAACGTAAGATTTGGGAAGAACTCGGGGGTAACGACAGTGTACGAGGGGGAAAGGAGGCTGGTGGGCAGAGGTGATATGTTCCGGTTAATTTCCCGCTGTGGCGGTCCTAGTAAGTTGAGTCGAAAGTGCATCGATGGGAAGAGTCATGAGTTCGAGAATTGTTTCACGGTTGAAGTTTTGCATGGACGGATTTCTGCATTTCCGTAGTCGTCGAGTATAAATGTCGTGGGTGGGGTCCCGCTTTCTGAACGGATTCATTACCTTGTACGCCTAGACGTGCAGGAAGATTGGGTTCCCGTTCTAGGTATCGTCGGAATTGGTGAACTCGATGGAAGTCTCATTTGACACCACTGGAGTAACACACAGCACGGCGGGACTGTTTCAAGGAAGAGTGAATCATTGCGATCGAGCCGAGTCGGGTTTCAACAGAGCGAAGAATAACTTTTCGATCCTCTCTGAGAGCTATGTATCAGGATTCGGGGGGGAAAGGTTTTCTAGAGGTCGGGCGATCTGGTTCTCACGTATCGATCTACTTGGATACTGGACGTGTTTATGAGGCGTATTGAGTCGCGTTTCGTTTACGGAATTTCGACGTCTTCGCCGTGAGGGTACCTGAGGGAGGCACAAAAATCAATGTATGATCGATCATCATTACAATACTTGACAAGTCTGACAAGCCCTTCGAACGACAAGATTTGGCCAATCAAGGGAGCACTTTGTCAAGAAGATTGGAACTCGTTTGAATCATACAATCTTACAAAGCGAAGCTGAAGCAGCAAGCTCGGCATTCATTAAAAAAGCTGGAAATCTTCATACGAAAAAATTGAGCAACTCAGGTTGACAGTACCCAGACTTTCGGAAGGAGTCTGCAGCTGCCATCGGAAAGGTGGAGAGTATATCGCCGACTATGGACAAAAAAAACCATATACCTATAATAGAGTTTCGAATCGATGTCACTGGCAGCCGATGAGGAGAAACGATCGACAGGAAGGGAACAGAGGCTTCGCATCGTCATGAGAAGGAATTTTCGCGAACTTTGCCTGCGGTACACTGATGTTATCCAAGCGTTCGTGTAATCCTCTGGGCACTCTCCTCAAGCAGAACTAAAAGAACCATCGACTGCAGCTCCAGATGATGCGAAACCGTGAAAAACACATGCAGACTCAATTGGTTCCCATTGACAGCATGCGGTTTTACGGAGCCGGTCAGCTTACCGTCGACCACACGCACTCACGGTCCGTCTGTTCTTCGGTTGAACTCAATATGCTCTGCTGGCTACCTGACTGAGCTCAGGACTATCCGCTCGCCGGCAACGGCGCGCACCCGTAGCTAGTCTAGTGCGGCGGCGACAGCCCAGGCTGGGCCGAACTGAGTTCAGCCCACTCAACTTCGTTGACGGTAACAGGGGAAGGGGGATTGAGGGGAGGTCGGACCAGACCAGGCCGGGCCTGGTCGTTCTCTGGGGACCACTCCGCCCCGAACGTGCGTCGAACACCGAACGGAACGTTCGACGCGGCGCCGGTTACGTCGCGAGAATATTATCATTAAAAATCTCGAAAGATGTCAAGGTTCGATTTGGAGTGCTGAAAATATCAAGACATCAATGATCCGCTGAGGGGTCCGACGTGCGAGCACCCTGTTCACGTTGCGAGCACCGTACGCAAACGGCGAATGTGTCGCAACAAACTTGTCGATCGTTGTCATCTACATGATGATGATGATGCTATAGATATGTCGATTGGCTGATTGCGTCTGTTGTTGAACTCGTGATTGTCTTCAAGACTGCCCGGTATGCAAAAGCTGCGTGCCCATCGTCAAACAGGGACTCATGATCATGAATAATTGAAGTCGTTCGAACGATCCGTATCCAATCTGTTATAATGGATAGGACCGCCGATGGAACCGCGAGAAGTCTCACCTAACCGGAGCTCTGGCCGATCTTGGGGGAACATAGTCTTGTTCCCAAAAAGCCGACCGAGGAGACTGATCGGGTCCTGTGAGTTTAGCAAGACAGACCCCGGGAATCGTGAAGGGGAGAAATATCATCTCAATCAATCAGTCAGGCAGTCAGTCGGTCCGCTTTAAAATACCCGAGTCGCGGTACTCCTTGATGCCGGTAGCTATCCAGAGCTGCAAACCGAAACTAAAGCAGTAGAGCCTCCATGAATCACTGCGAACAATGAACGTCAAAAAAGATGACATCTTGTACACCATCGCGAACTTATACTTTCTCATCAGTGAAATTGCCCTCACGTCCATAGCTCCGTTCGAGTTAGTTGCTTTGCGGTTTCGGGCCTCGTGAACCAGCAAGCTCGGGTCTCATGTCGACGCTCGGAAGCAGCCGTAGCCGCCATAATCAGTGTCAAGTACGTACGGGACCGATGTGAATCTGTTGCTCGCTAAGTTGATCCGGCGTTGGACCAAGGACCGAGAAGGTTCGGAGCCAGGCTCCCGTTTCCGCCGGAATCTCGGGCGGACTCTCGCAAGAATTCGTTCCTAATTCCGGAGCCTGAAGACGCAGAGAAACCGTTGCCTCTCCGGATACGGGGAACGCGGACCGTTACGACACCATAGGGAGAGATGAATGAGTTTGCTCCACGGACATCAAAATCTCCCCGCCGATTCCGTGACGTGCATCTCGCAGGTTTCGGAATCCTTATTCTTTTTTCCTGAGAGGAACAGCATTGGGATGGATGTGAGTTTTGTCATGATTCTCATCGCGAGACGCCCCTATTCCGGAGCAATCGGTCGGTGGAGTGAGCCGGACCGAAGGAGCTGAGGACAGGGGAGAGAGAGAGTGACTGTACTGGTATTCCAGGAAGATCTCGAAATTCTCCAAGCGGCAGATCCCGCGGGATCGGAGGGAGACAAGTATGTGTCCGAATCCTGCTAGCATCAATAATTCGACCCCGATTCTCCTCTCAAATTCGATCATTTTTCATTTTCGGATGCGATTCTCAGCAGTGATACGTCAATTGGAGATAAGAACGGAAATCCATCATCCTGCTCGAACCAGCTGGAGCAAGAAAGAGACGAGCTGCAAAAATGGTCAGTGTCGTTTTTATCGTCTCCCGACAAGAGATAATCATGGAAGCGAGTCTGGAAACCGCAGACGCAGTTTGACGAGAACCGTCGCTCCACTGTTGTGGCATGACAACCCGGAGATTGCCTCCGAGTCGCGAGAAAGAAGGAACTGCGTTACGATTCTAGGTTCGACAGAATGCGTCAATATTGCGAGGACGAGGGAGATATTCTCGACGAACAATTGCAAGCGAAAGCCGCAGAGGAACATTCCCAGCCGGTTCTGATTCTCAACGAGGAACGCACCGAGGCAAGTCTAATGGAATTTTGGCGCGGACGCCTACTTCCTCCTGCGACAGGCTCAGCTGTGAATACTTGATCAAAAGTATTCCTATGAGGAATGAGATCACGTAGGTTCTTAATTCGCTCGCGATAACACCGCTGCATCCCCGGAGCTAAGCCAAGCCTTAACTTTGAAGCTTAACCAGCTGAGAGTTGCTGTTCGAGTTCTGCGTGACCTGGACGCCGACGCGTCGGACGAAAAGGATATTCAGGTCTTCGAGAGCGTTTGGAAATGCCTCCTACCATGGTTCTGCCGGAACAGCGTAGCTCAGGAAGCTGGCGGATTGCTTGATGCTTTCATGACACGCCTCTACCCGCTGCTGAGTACGCCCCGCATTGCAGACGTGATGCAAAAGTATTTTGATCAACTCATTAACGTAGGTGAATCAAGGTCAAACGGTCGGTCGCTTGTTGGCTGCATGTGCGGTAGCTTAGTTGGCGGCTTCGTCGGCCTACTTCGTGTGTGGCTCATTGCTTATCTAATTTCTGAGCCCGGGTCCTCAGGAATTCTCATTCTGTACTCTCTCCTGATTGCAGCTCCCGTATCCAGACGCTCTCATAGAGCTCTGTAGAAATCCGACGTTCGCGAAGAAAATTCAAAAGCATCTCGTGGGACGCTTCGTCGAGGCTCTGAGAGACTTTGAGCTCGAAAACAACGATGGCACTCGCAGTCGGACGGCCGCGGACAGCGAATTGAAATGGCGTTGTGTTCGTCTGGGGAATCGGACTCTGGATATTCTCCGGGCATCCATGTTCGGAGCCGACGTTGATCGCGCGAGTTTCGCTGCCGAACTCCTCGACGAACTTACCAATACGAATGTGCGATCGGGAGAGATGACGATTTCTTTTTTTAGTGAGAAAGTTCTCCTGTTACTCCGGTCGCAAAGCGGTGCTGCTGACGATCGAGCGCAATCGAGAGTTCAAATCGAAAGGGTCGACGCCTCGTGACTGGGAAATCAGAGGAGTGTTGAGAGCCGACAACTGCGAGAAACCTTGCGCCCGCTGCAACCACCCCCGGACGACGGTCGTTCGACAGCTAAGAGAACCACTCGTTTTCAGGAGGATGACATATGAAGGAGGTGGGATGAGAGATCCCTGCGTCCGTTATCGTTCGGAATTTATTCTAATATCATCCGAAACTTCTTTGTTCTAATCCTCGGACCTTGGCTGCGATTATCGATGTCTCATGTATGGATGCAAATGGTCAGAACAAGGCGTGGAAACAAGCCTCCGGGGACGGGATGTGCTTTTCTCAGATCACGGTCGCTGTTACTTGAGGCGAATATATTCTCGTATGTCTTTGAGCAAAATAATGCGCAGAATGCAATTCGATTATTCGATCATTCCAGAAGAACTGTCGCGCACGAAAACGAGCTCCAGAGAGGAACACATCTCGCGCGAGAAGCCTCTAGGAAGTTCTTGTGATGACCGATCTTTTAAAATTCACGGGGCTGACTTGATTAGAAATTCCTTCCCTCAAAGATTCACTTTGTCTCCTCGGACTATTTGAGCTCTGAACCTCCAAGCGTCCCGGAAATCGGTAATCGGAATCCCTCTTCGCTGCGCGATTTCGATCACTTCCTGCGCTATATTTTCCTGCGGAAGGAATCCGGAGTCAACGAAAATAAGGAGAGGCTTAGCGACGATTCGTCCTCAGATCACGCCCCGGAGCGAACCTCGCTGACCCCGTTACTAATGACTGAAATCTCTCATTTGTACCCCCGCGAGCCAGATGAAGCCCCGGTCGGCTGTACTCACTTGAGAAGTTCCTGTTACGTCGATATATTCACATTCGGAAGCCGCGTAATGACACGAGATAGCTTTCCGGAAGCCCTGGGAACGATTCGCTCCGGAGCCATGAATTAGGATCGGATGGAAGAACACCGTGTCACCCTTCTCCATTTCGAGGAAAACTCTGCGATCCAACACGTCCGACGCTCCTGGAAGCCAAAAGTCTTTCTACTGCCCTCGAGATCTCGCAAGAGGAAAGTTTTTCTTCCAAGACCTTCCAGTAAGATAATTGCGCCAGTCATACCTACATATGTACACATGTACAATATGCTCAACTTTTTCGGGCTCCTGAAGGGGCAGAGGGGAAAACTACTCAATTGAGGCGTAAGCCCGCCGTAGGTTATTCTCGACTATTGAACATCTCGGAACTACACCGAAGAGCTGAAACCGCATGTCTCTCTCCGGCTCATCGCCGTGTTGTTCGACTGGGCTCCTCATTCAATGACAATTTGTCGCTGAAAAGCCACTTCGCGAACGGTTTCTGATACCGCAGGGACTGCGCGAACTTGTTTGATACCTCTGCGATTCTTCAAGTGATCATGCGGGATTGACGCAATTTCTGACGCACACCTTTGATTCCGTGATATCCTTTGTTGACGCCACCTTCCCAGTCGGGGTAGTCGTGCTCGAGGAGCGCCCCTCTGTGAGAGCCCGGGATCGCAACTAGGCAGCCGTTCTCCCGCGTAACGCGCTCCATAGCGGTCCACGAGCAAACAATCCGGTCCGCTGGTCTGAACGGGAAATAATGGAGATCCTGATGCAGCGGATGCCTCGACGTCATACTACCTGCGATCGAAGGAATGAATACAATGCGTGGAAGTGCATGGAATGCCCGCTTCAGAATACCTCCCATGATATCGAACCATGTGCTCGAATCTCTTAGAAAACGGCGGAGGAGCATCCTTTCGCCGGGCGCGGAAGCATACGACCGAGGGAGCTCTTGAGAAAAAGGGAATCTCACCAGAATCGGGCGGCTTATTGATGAGCATCGTATGCACTGCCATAATGTTCGGACCAATGAAACTGCTAACGAAGTCCAAAATTTTCGGGGTACGGCAATATGCAAAAAGTTCGTCGTCGAGGAAGAGGTCCTGAAAATTCGGTCGTGAAATTAGCGCCGTTCGATCACTGACGCAACAGAAAGGTCGTGCAAGGAAAACATCCCGAATTCCAAAAAGCTACGGAGGACACCGCGACTCAGAGAACTCTGAATCTCTTTGCCTCCGTTGAGATTGAGAAGCTCGTGTGTTATAATATTCCCCTCCATATAATCAGCATCATTCAGATAAGCATCCCCTGCTCTTCTTGACCAGAGAAATGTGTTTTTTTTCGTGAGCAAACCCGGTTGGAACAATGGATGGAAATGGTGATAGTCCACGAGGGAAGTAAGCGAGATAAAAAGACTTAACCCGATTCTCCCGGAATCGAGAGCGCATTTATCGTCTCGGTCAGCGCAGTGTTTGAAGCAGCCCACTAGAAACACAATCGTCATCATCTCCATCACCTAACACGTGTGACCTGAATAAAACGCTGCGCGGAGAGACTGGAGCACCCGGGACGAGAATCACAAGAAGCACAGAGAAAGGAGAAATCCTTCGACAGCTTGCCTGAAGCTTGTTGACAACAAATTGGCTGGATTCTTTATCTTTGACGGCTACATCCTTCATTACTACTAAGCCTGGAACTTTCACTCGACGGTGTGCGATGTCTTCGAATCTACAATCGAGAAGAATTCAGATGAATGAACACGACACGAGGGGATGATGCACAAGAATTCAGATGGAAGTGGAATTCGAGAATGCTGCTTGAGTAACGGGCGGCTGTTGATAAAATCGTATACTAGGGAATCGACGAGTTCAAAGTATAGGTCGTCGGCGAGCTCTTGACGTCGTGCGGGAGTCTGTACCTTTTTGCGTACTTGTCGATGTCCTGATGGTCTACGAGGTTTCTAATGACGATGTAGCCATTCTCCTCGTAAAAATGGCGCTCTTCTGTAGTCAGAAGCGAGTCAGCCGAGTCTACGGTAAATCGGAAGCTCGGCTCGGGGTTCCCGTAGGTTTGGAATAAGGCCGGATCCTCAAGAACCTTGATGGCTGTGGCCATGTTCCCTCCCTTCAAATGTCCGACGATCGTCCTTAATCTGTTGGCCGCCATCTGAAAATGAGTTTCCCGTGGAATGAGCCTCAAGAAGAAACCACCTTTCTCGTTCCTCCGTCCGTTCCACGTCGCTTTTTCGGTGGGTTTCGTCCAGCCGCAGCCTCTAGAGCTAAAGATTCTCCTTTCGTACTTTCGTCTCATCGACTGCAGCTGTTGATGTCGGGCGATATTCTCCCCGTCATGGCACTGCCGCTTGTTCTTTGGTATTTCTCGAAGTGAGATGGTTTAAGATGAATTTCCATCCTCTGTCCAGGGGAACCTCCACGATCACACAGTCAAATCAGGGACGCTACGCTGCCGGAAGCCTCCATGTAAGAATGTTGCAATCAAACGCAACATAAACACACAAGACAGCCACTAGCCTTCATAAGAGTCGATCGAAGTTAGCCTTGCCTTACGCAAGTTATTATCCGCGACACAAGCATTCACAGCGAAGTTCCTTTCCATTCTCTAGTTCGCCTTCGGTACAGCGATCAGCTCTCGTGCTTGAACCGGGGAATCTCGTCACAGAGTTCCAGTTCCAGTTCATGAAGATTAGACAATCCTCTTGAACTTAGATTCCACTCATTCCGGCTGCAATGAGGGTCCTCTCGATCGACTCTCGGTCTCCTCTTCCGTGTTGCGATGCGGGAGAAAACTGAACAAAGAGGAGGAGGACCACTGAACTCACTTTTCCTGCGCTCAGTATTCCCAGGAGTTCTTGCTCGAAGTTTTTTCTCCAAACGTTCGTGGAGCCACCGAGCCTCGCAGCTGTCAAGAGAACGCGTGTTTAACCGGGGAGCCCTTCTGTAAGCGGAGCTCTTTCCCTTTCCTCAAGCGGCCGGTTACGGCGATATCTCGCAATCATTACACACTTTCGGCGAGCGTCTGAACCTCTGCGACGCGGAATACGACTCACTCACCAAGAATAAATCATTTCGTTCGGCTGGACGGATCCTTTCCGACTTACGTCTGCGAGCGATGCGCTTGAAAACGTCGTTCTCACATGTCCCATCGCTTGTACGAAGAATATTTCCGCACCTACAAATTATTTCACATCTTTCGGGAAGACTTGACCGGAAAAAAGCAAGCACGCCCGCGTATACCATGAGCTTCTCCCACCTCGACATCGGAGAGGAATGTCTTTTTCAGATTCCGTCGACCCATGCCGGGGCCTGCTCTCTGCATCACATGCAAGGAGGGCACCCATCGGCCGGCACCTCATTGATCTCACTTCGTTACGCGAGATTCCAAGTACGAATATCAGTTTCGGTAGCTCATCCTGGCAGCAGAGCTATGGGGATGAAGCCTGCACGCGTTCAATTTGCCGACGACAAACGTTGTTTTTCGACATGCCCGCTCAGGATCAATTTGGGAACGACCGATCGACGGTGAAGCGTCGCTGTCCACCTTCAAATTGAAGTCAGGGTCCGATTTATGATTAGCCTGTTAATGATCCTTTCTCCCTTTTTCCCCTTCCTCGGATATTGGAAATGCGACAGCTAATCGACCGGCCAGGATCACAACTTCTGGTCCCATTCGTCATCTCGCTGTGAAGGAATCCGAGCAGAAGTCCAAACGGATGTGATTGAAATCAGATAATGTTTATTTCGACTTCTGTATTTTTGGGGGGGGGAGGGGATTGACAAGAACGAAGTTTCCGCGAAAGTATCCTCAACTCCAGATGAAACACAAATAAAAGACACCGCGGATCTGCTCAGCTTGGAGCAACCAAAGTTTGTCGCCGCTAAGAGCGAATTTCTGGGAACCAAGCTGCTGACACACCGTGTCTTCACAAATCGATAGAGCCCATTATCCTCTCCCCCAGTCTCGGAAGATCAAGGTTTTGGCAAGTGCACCTTACAGTTCTTCTGCGCTAGTTTTTCATCTCTTAAAAAACGCACTCCATTCCGCACGATGCTCAAGTAATTAATTACTACGACATATTGTGAGAGGCCGAAATCTCACTCGATGGTGATATATATACATTGCGAAGTGTTCGAACAGAGGATAGATATTTTTGGAGTCGCGCCCGACGACATCTCTACTCGACTCGGAACTTCTATCTGTTATGATCATTGTGGCAATGATGAGGTTCACTATATTGATGATGATGTCACACACGATTGGTGTACGCGTCTCTCCGTGAAGGGTTCATTGCTTACGATGTTTTTACACTTGTTACAGATTTACAGATCGCACTCGGTGTAAAATTGTTCCGTGGTGGGAAGGCTCTGTGTACCATGGACCACGAGCGGGATGAAGAGATCCGAGTCATCGTACCTGTGTAGGTTGACGACTCATAGACCCCTCCCCAATCAGATTTGTCCTCCAAGTGTGACGAGCAGTGGCCACACTCAGCGCAACGGACTACGCGACAGAGTTCATCGCCTGGTGGGCAATTGAACTTGAGGAACGCGTCCGTTTTGGAACCTCGCCTGCGTTGGCAGCAGGGGTTGTTGCTGTTGTTGGATGGACGTCTGAATCAGGGGAACCCCGCTCGGGTCGGCCGCATGTCAGTGCCATTTGGCTTTCTGTGCGAATATATCCGCACGTAGATTCTGTGCGAAACAAATTCCGAGAATCTGAAAAACAATGGAAATTATTTTAGCTCAATTTTCGATACGGCTCGGAGAGTCGCGTCTCTGCGGGAATTTCTATTCTATCGAGATATATATTCTCAGATTCGATGCCGAAGTAGAGAAATCCTTCGGAAGATAGCTCCGATCGAGGTGCGCCAGAGCTTGGAACGCCTCCATTCGTCGAGCGAATTGAGGTTCGCTTTGAATTTTACGAAGTCCCATCACCGATCCAGATGAACGACTTAACGAGAAGGAGTGGTTCATTTTTTCTACCTGAATGAACGCAATGATGAGCGTAACCCCCGAAAGGGAAACAAGGTTCAGTTCGACCCATTCCTCCAATAAATGAAGGCAGCCCCTCTCGTAGATGAGTCTAGATCTGACGTGCTTGTCCTAGAAAGGAAAGTTGAGACTCTTCCGTATCTGTTGCGAGTGACGACTCTGACGTACCTGCAGAACTGCGAGACCTACGGCAACTCCAGCCACAGGTACTAAGTTGGCTTCAATCCACTCTTCTCCCGCACGCAGACATCCTTTCTCATATATCACCTGACTTTTGTCGCGTTGCTGAAGTAACCATCGGACAAAAAAGCACCGTCACCGAATGTTAGATTAGATCCGCACCGTCACCACCACACATTCGTTGTACTCTCTCACTCGCAACCAGTGACGCAATGTTTACCGATCGAATGGGGTTAATGTGATTCGTGCAGTTTCTCGAATCTCAAGATCTTGGGAGCTAGGTAGGTGTTCATTGAGTCCGTTTGGACAACGCTGACGTGAGAGGAAGGATAAATAATATTCGGAGAGAGAAAGAATGCACGAATCACAAAAGTAGTAGTGGTCAATACCCATTTAGGAGGGTTAATTAGTGCATGGTAGAATGACTCACGTAATCAGGCTTTCTGACATCGTATCCACACTGCTTGTTCTTGATGAGTTCATTAGGTTGCCGTTTGCAACAAGAGAAAGGAACTCCGCACGCCTCTCTGCTGCCAACTTCCACGGAGGAGCAGTTGAAATAAATGTTCATGTCCCAATCTTTCGGACCTGGAATGCGAATCACAGTAATCACTCGAAGACCGCCACAAAAACACCAAATTCTCCTCCCGAAGGCCTCCGTGACGTTTCCGAGAATTTCAAAACGTCGGACAAAACTACCCCGGCGGAGAGCCCAACCTCGGCAGTCCAAGATTAGTTCGACGCGAATGGATTCTGAGTGTGAGAGCAACAAAAGTGTATCATACCTTCGATTCCGCAGCAACCTAGCCACTGTTCCTGGATCCAATCGATTAGATTCTGGCGATCTGGATCATCCCGATAAAACACGATGAATGCTTGGAAGCCATTCGTTGCTTGCGATTTGATCTGGAGCATGGAGGAGGATCACAGTTCGTTAGGACTTTACAGAGTTTTCGTCAGCGATTTTGAGAACTTGACTCAGCGCGATCATCAAAATCGTTTCCACTGCCGGCGTACGTACCCAGTCCTTGAAAATGAAGCCAAGGATCCCGGCAGTCATTTCCAGAAGAAGTAAAATCGCGAGGAATATTGCGTACTGGAACGGATGGAGTTTGAATGAATTTTTTGTCGAAATAATCTCCATCGGGAGTAAGTTGGAGAAAAGGGAGATCCAGCCACTACCACCGAATCCTATTATCCCCAGATGGCCCTCTGAGCTCGTTTCTAATGTAGCCATCAGATGCTATTTACTCGAAGCCGATTGCAAAAATTTTCGCGCTTCATGAATCGCTACGAACTCGAGCAACGCACGGACATCGACAACGGGGCGCTGGTCCCTTCCGCCACAATGCCTTGGCGTGCATGTTCGCACTACTGGCTCTACGATGAATATGTTCCATTGTAAGTTGTCGGTCAGAACGCGACAACGGAAACCGCCAGGAGTGAACACGGTGGTCGATTGTGAACCGCCGAACGCAGCCATTCGTCGGGCTCCCAACAATGAGATAATGACTGACCGTTCGCATTCCGTACAGCTAATTCACTGAAATTTTTTACTCATGCGCATTCCAGACCAAACCGGTCAGGTATTCGAGAATCTCTAAGAGAATACCGCGGTCGAGTCTCGAAACATTTCGGTATTTTCTCGAATTGGTTAGAGACAGAAATCTACCTATGATACGTCTTGGGATGCCTCCGGGGCCGAATATCCGGGAGCCGCCTCAGCAGTCTCGCATGCCTTGTTTCTCTAGTCTTCCGGGAGTTCCCGCATCACTTACCGCGGCGAGTAGGCAAGTGTTTTCTCGCAAAGCCCCCACGCAACCGGTGAAGCCGATGATGAATGTGATACCCCCTGCAAATGTCGAATGTCTGTTCATTGTAAGGTTCTCTCGTTAAGCCCGTCAGGAAAGCATGAATATGAGCGGAGAGCGAGAATGTACGACGTCCATAAAGTCATCACGGGTTCCATCGGTAAGCAAACCTGTCGGAAGACTAACCTATGACAATCAAAACAAAGGCTGGATCGAGCGCTATGTTGGTCAGCTTCGAGAGGTTATTGAAAATATCTTTTTCGGTCCAAGCCCAAACTCCAATGATCATAATCGACAATCCCAATAACTGAAATGGAAAAGTGTCCTTCAGCGCAATGGTTCCTTGAAATCACCTGACCCCATCCATGGCCGGGAGACAGTGGCTATAGGGAATTCTGGAATCGAGCACCCGAGTCCCCGACACAAGTTCCTTCGAATTAGTTCCTCATTGGTTGCCGACCAAGAATCGGCGAGTAAATGAACTCCCTGTACCACATCCCCGGAGAGGAGTACGGAAGTTCTCTCAGATGGCGAAGTTCAGGTTTCCGAGCAGCGATTCCAGAATTCTTCCCGGATGAGTAGTGGCCAAAGGGGAAAAAGACGCAGATTACACGCAGTTGGCATCAGAAGCATTGCGTCGATAGCTCTCCGCTGGGCTGACCACGGTTTTCCGAGAAGTGTGTCACTTGGCTTGACATCGAGTCGATGACCGTCAGAGGGATCCGTTCAACGCACAGAAGATGAAAATCTCCGCATCTCGCATCGCATGAATGCGGAATTCAGTCAGAAAAATATAACGGTCGAGTCGACCGGATAACTCACCCAAAAAATCACATTGAAACCGAAAATTAGGTACTTCAGACAACAGCTGATTTCGCTTTTGTCCCTCCGGTGGTGTTTCCTCGAGGATGAGATGCGATTCCCGTAACGCTGAACATCGTCGCCATAAGGCGCCATCCTTAATTCTGGCTGACCCCTACACTCTACGAATTAGGAACTTCGGGCCGGATTCATACAGCACGCCACCGCAGGCCCGTGATCGACTTCGCAGTCATTCAGAAACACACACACAACGCCAACGGCGACCAACGGGACGGCCACCAACCAATGAACCTACCCACCGACAATTCCACACAGCACAGACACAGAGTGGCAGCTCTTCAACATGGCGGCGCGTGACCCTTTCCTCAACGCAGAGGGTTCCCTCGAAGCGCGCCACAAGCTCCGACGAAACAAAGACGGCTATTGCTCGGGGAAACTCCCCATGAACTGAAAGCTTGGCCGAGAGGAGACGCGTTACGGGAGCTACAGTTCTGAGCCAACGCCACACTATGGAAACTTGAAGACCGCGACGAGTGAGCTCACCGAGCCTGGATCGTTATCAAGACGAGATCTGACGGAGGCGCCTCCCTCACGGCATTGAGACCCTCGGCGGTCCGATAGACAAGATCAGCGCCCTCACTTGCACTCATCATTCTTCGCGAGCTCCACAGATCCAAGGTGCTCTCTTCGTCTCGGAATTGACATTCCCTCTGAAAGCTTCCGCTAATCAGTTTACGCCGTCTTCACCCGAAAGCTGACGAGATGGCGAGTCTCCTGATGAATTTGAATAAGGTGCCGGCGGGCGCGATGCCCTCCGAGAAGGATATGGATCCCAACGACAACATTCCCTGGTATCTCAAATATGGAGCACGAGTTGTTGGAACCATCGCTTCCCTCGGTGAGTTCTATCGAAATTAGAATTCCCAGCTGTCTATTGCCACACCTGTCGTTCCTTGAGTCCATTCCCCGGTTATGAGCGTTGAGTTTCGTCATCTGATGAACTTCACTGCTGGGGCTCCCAGAAAATGCGGGTGTTTGGGAGTGGCTTTCCTGGAGTCAGAGATTGCCGAGTCGGGCTTTGTTTCGCGGAGGAACGTGATCCTGCGGCTGAGCTCGACGACAGGGATGCTCGTATGTCCGAGCGACGGGAACCCGAACACCGGGAAGGTGCGATCAGCCGCGTGAACTCCCTCCGAGGTTTCCAAAGCAAACCTTCATTTCTTTGCGACCGCTCTGAACCGACCGGATCCCGCGGCGCAGAGCCTATGTCTCGACGGAAACAAATCATGTTTAGGTCGCCCCATGCGAGGCTCGCTTTTGTTCAGAAAACATTTATTACCTACACATTATATGTATATGTCGATAATTGTTTGAATAATAGATCCCGGGAAAATCCTGCAGCTCGGGAGTGACTTCTAAGGAATACCGTGGTACTGTCGACTGGGTTCTTGAACGGTGGCGGCGATAACTCTGATATCATTTTATTCCAGTTGCTATCGGGATGGGCATCCTGCTTGCTTTCCGATCAGCTTTGACCATCTCATTGACGTGCCTTCTCGCCGCGATAATTCAGTGTTCCGCGGGTCTATTCGTGGCGCTCCTGGAAGCTCCGTGCCTCTGTGCATTCCTAGCCTTCGCTCAGAAACCCGGACAAATGATGGACGGCAAACCCCTCATGTTCAAGGCTGGCTTGTACTGCGTGTAGGTTCTCCGATCACAGCGTCCTTACACTTGGTCGAGGCACAGCGTCGATCGATATATTTTCGAGACTTTCTCCGGGAAGACGATGCTCTCTCCCCCCGACCGAAGCCTCTCTATTCAAGAAGAGTTTCAATTCGCAGGTTGGGCGTCGTGCCAGTCATCATGTGCATGGGGATCACAACCATCCTGGGCTCTGGCCTGATCCTCTGCTGCGGCTTGATGTATGGCTCGATCGCGATGGGCAGAAAGGCCCCCGCTGCCGATATGGCAGCCGCAGCAAATGGAGGAGTTGTCTCGCCGTCGCACTTAGAAGACGGCCAGCCCCAGCAATACGTCAACTAGGGCGTGTTCTCCCAGAGAACGCGCACTTCATGATGTTCTGCGTCAAGTTCATCGATACGAACCCGTACTGTGTTTGTGAGAGAATCTATCGACCTGGAAGCTGCTCTCGGTGGTGGTACTCGAGTAGTCTAATGAGGTGTTCCAAATTCTCCCATTCGATCTCAGCCAGTGAAAAATGACAGCCAGACCTGCGCGCTGCGGAAGAGCCTTTCGAGACGGTTCCTTTCGTGTTCCGAACTTTCCCGACCATTCCCGATCCCTCCGCAAGCGCCAGCGATACTGGTCCTACAAGAATGTATTTCCGAGTGATGAGTTTGAGTGGAAATTTGATTCTTCGAACCGCACATTTCGACATCAGTTTCATATTAGTTCAATCCATCGAGGGGGCAGGTCCGTCTACAACCATATCCGCGCCTGCTGAAGAGAATTTGACATTGACCTTCATTGGATCCTCAGTTTACCGATATGTTGTAAATAAGTTGCCCCTGTACATATTCCAGATCTTCATATGATTTAATAGCACGGCGTAGAGCGTCGGCTGTGAGTTGTGTTCATATGCTGTACACAATTATTACAGCGAGATCAAATCACGAGATGTTCCCCCAACTAACTTGTTAGCTATAACCAAACATGCAAGCGCCGACCGTAGCACTAAAACCGATTATAATCCTGGTTAGCGCGACTTGACTGAATACAATACTCGGACGATCCAATTCGCCTCGAATACTCCGAGATCTCAGAGACGACATCACGGACGAGTCGAGAAAGGAGACAACGCAGAACTCGGATTCAATTCGCCAATACAACCTGAGCGGTCAGATTTCGATATATACTGATACGCTGAAGATCTTGACTCTTGACTGAACATTGTGATAAAAGCTGCTTGTCATCTGACTTTGGAATTCGAAATCCAGTAATACTTTGACACTGCTCGAGGAGCAAACATTTCGTGATGCAGACAAGTCGAGTTTCATAAAGCCACAAAAATTCGAGATCGTTCGAAATGCATTGCGTTCCGTAAATAATTAACCAAACCTGGTAATGAGAATTACAGCTAAATTGTTCTAATAGGACGAGTGAGTTTATTATTGTGTACCAAAGAGAGAAACTGTGTATTCTGGTCCGATTGCATGGAATAAACGAGGAGTAGTGAACATCCGAAGCGTGGAAACATCATCAATGAGTCAGTCTCACGGCTCCTAATTGGCGAATATACTCGAGCATGGGAGCCAAATGTTCATCTTGTATGATCGGTGGAACTCAACTTCTTCTTCTTCCCAGGCGTTAGGATATTTCTCCGAGTGATTGAACCACCAGACGGATCGCCGTCTGCTGAGCTTGCTCGCTAGAAGAGATTGATCCATAATTTTCAGACGAGGTTACTCCTGCAGGATTCGAGCGATCCATCGACCATCGACGATGGATCAAGACATCATGGGACACGTATTTCAAATTCCCCTCTCACCTTCTTCAACGGCAGGTGTTCTGTAAGTTGCCCAGCACCATAAGGAGGCGACCTCGTGATGTCCTGCCAATGGGATCAGCAATTTCTCTGTTGGCCCTGTCAAGAGATTTATCACGCCTGGGGGTATTTTGCAGTGCTCGATCACCTGAAAAGAGATCGGATTAAGGAGCGAATCTCCTCGGAAATTCGAGCTTTCAATCAATGACTTGTAAGCTCTTCACGCGGCACCTGTGTCAGCGTCAGAGGAGCCAAGGGATAATCCTCCGGAACGATGAGGACAGCCGTGTTCCCATTTGATATGGCGCCCACAAGGAGCGTGATGAGACTCTGCATGACCTTCGTATCCGGGCAGAGGATGCCGACGACGCCGTGTGGTCGGAACGATTGGATTATTTTCATTTTCGGTGGTGCACTCTGTGGGGGAGGGCGATGTTTCAAGTTTTTCCAGCAGAAACGTAGGATGAGAAATTAATGCTCCCGTTGGCCCTCCACTCGAGCTGCGAACTCACTGAGCTTGAAGCATCTCTTCCGCAAGAACCTGCCCAGGTGAAGGCTGCTTCGACACAATCCTCAAGCTCCTCTGCGCAGTCGGAATGGCCTGTGTTCAGCGACAATTTGTTCTGCAGACCTTCGGCGCGCTCGCTGAGAACTTCAGCGAACTTGTACATGTGTTTCGAACGCTGCAACGGCGTCAGTTTGCTCCATCTGGAAAAATATCGGTAAACCCCCTGTCAGAGGACCTACAGGGATCGAGTCGATACGACATACATCCCGCGCTCACGATGATGAATTTTTCTCGCATTGATTGGCGGAGATACTTGCCCAGGGAATGCCTTAGCTGCCGCTTCGACCGCATTCCTGACATCCTTTGGCCCACCCGCCGGGACATAAGCAATGACCTTATCTCCTTGGTCGAAAGGAGGGAATCTATTGTAGACGGGGTAGTACGTATTGGAATCCGCTGGCTTCTGAGCTCCCCCGTAGTACAGAAGGAAAGTCTGATCGACGGCCCTGTTGAAGACACGTGGAGTGCATTCGATTCATCGCAGAGAAGGAACCACGGGTGTATCGGAGGAATAATAATCAGCATTGACGCTCAGAGCGGCGACCAGAGCGGAACAAGTGGAGAGCTCGATCGGCGGAATATTCTCTCACCCAGCAGATTCATGTTTCTCAGATGCGTCAATCACGGGGGTATTATCTTTACGGCTCTTCTTTTCGCGCGGATCGAAGCCTCCGCTAGGGCAGAGTAGCTCTCTCAAGCTCTCCGGGCTGCTCTCAAAGAAGTTCTGACCATTTATCCATATATTGCGATAACCTGAAAGTCGGTCCGCAATTTCCAAGGCAACACTGACGTATTCGGTCCAGATCGACAGGCAGTCTGAGTGCAGCGGCCCTAGAGAAAATCACAGAGTGAAGTCGCGAGGGATTCTTCAAGGAAATCATTTCCGAGGACGCATTTCTTGCAAGGGGACCAGGCGGCGAGTCCCCATAGGACAGAGACCAACGTTCGGGACGAATTGATGCATAAGAATATTTTACCGGTGGAGACCAGAGAGCTGACTTCTTTCGCCGTTTTGAAACCTTGGACGTAGATCGTGGGCTGCTCCGCAGCCTCCATTGAAGACACCTGTGTGGCTCTCACCACCCGCACCTTGGCGCTTGAAACTAAGTCGATGGTCTTGGCGAAATTGTGTTTATTCATCGCCACATTCGCTGCCTGCTCTGCTAGACTGCTCCAGACCTTCTCCCAAATAGAATCCTGAACGTACAACATGACTCCGAAATAGTTTGGCTGGAAACGTGAGGCAGATTTTAAAGTGGGTGCGATGCAAAGCGCCGCACCGTTCCCATCTCGAAAGAGACCTTAGCATCTAACCAATGGCTCGTATCAACCTCGGAGCCTTTCCTCGCGACCTACCATTCCCCAGGAGTCCGCCAACAGCTCGAATGCACCGTTTACTGCAGAGTCCGGATCTGCGCCTTCGCAAATGATGCTCGTCGATAAATGTTTCTCGTTGGGCGGTAAGGGCAGGTGGTATGTCTTCATCGGTGGCTGTTGAAGCTTCTGCATGCTCTCAGGCTGCATCACGAGAACGCTGAAGAGTCCTTCTGGAAGACTGGGGGAGATTTCTGTCTCCAGATATGATGTATATGGGGAACATATTTATTTCTTCCGAGGGGGATCCCATCCAGTGTGCATTCAATTTCCCGAAATAATCGCACTCACTTGGCTGCTTTGCAAATCTCCGAAAACACCAGAGCCGGGAGACATTTGCTCGGCGCAACAACCAGAACGACTCGGCATCCACTCGCCAACGCTTCGACGAATCGCCATTCGGGAAGGAGGTGGAGAGGCGTGTACTCCTCATCCTGGAGCATACCGATCAGAAATGAGTTGAGGGAGAGCCGCTCTATGCTCCGTGAATTCGGAGCGGGATCGAGACAGATTAGAACCAACCTGAACCACCAGTACAGAATCGAAGCTGCTCCCCACGTAGTGGAAATTTTTCCCTCTCGCCGCCCCGTATAAATATTCCGTCGAGTACTCCACGCTAATTCCGCGACACTTCTCGAAGCGTTTGTGAGCGTAGCAAATCGCGTCGGCTGTCGCGAATAGTTTCGCATGTCTCTCGAAACTATGAGCTACTCTGGAATGAATGTCGATATCACAAAGCGATTTCGGCCCCACGGTCCAGCCTCCGATCTCATTCACAGAATAAAAGTTTCAGCAATAGATAATATCGGCCATCTACTAACTTGTAAAACGCTTTCATCTTATCAACCGGATTTCGAGATACCCATTCCTGCTGAGCAGCCTCCGCACTTTGCAGCGCGACAGTCAGAAGTTCCTCGTCGGCGCATCTCGCCTTATAACTTATCCCACTCGTGGGACAAGTTACAGAAATTGTGGCTCCACCTATCGATGGATCCAGATCTCCGGCGATCGCACTGCCCACTTCGGAATTATGAGCCTTGAGCCATTGCTGTGGAATCGGTGGATCCCTCAGCTCGACGGGCAAAACGCTCCTCAGAATTGGGACGTTCGAAGAAAGTCTTCCCGGAGAGTAAATCTCCCGAGCGATCAATGATAGCTGATGCTCACCTTGATGATATCCTGACTTTCGATTATATCCCAATCGAGTTCCATGGCGTCGAAACACTTTTTCAGTTGAGCAAGCTCATCCGCCATCTCGACGTCACTAGTCGAAGAAGAATCACTCTCTATAGCTTTCCAGGGGCACCTTGTTTTTTTATTATCTTGCCGGCTCAAACGACGTCGAGGAGGGACTCGACAGACGACGGTTGTATCTGCGAGAAGATAACACGTCGGGAAGCATTGTCCATGTTCGCGCTCGCTCAAGCTCATAGGCATCTTCAATGAGAGAGATCCGGCACAGCTCGTTACTTGAGGTTTGCCCGCCTGGAACTCGGTCCAGTTCGTGCAGATTTCCAGAGAGTGGAAGCACCGTGGAGGCGACCATTCCGCTAGAGCTGCTCTCGCGCGACTTGAGCTTTTTTGAATTTGCCGCCCTCCGAAGGACCTCGAGAGAGAGAGGCATGAGGGATACGGACATCCATGAGCGTCTTTCTGTGACCGAGTCCCAGCGGCGGCCACAGTGAGAAAGAGACCTTGTACACATTCATCGCCGCTCCCACTACCGTCGCTCACAGAGAGTCCTGTGGTGCTGTGTGGCAAGGAGAGTGACTCAGTCAGTGCCGTCAGATGTGATGTTGATTATCGGAGCGTTGTCTTCGCTTGGTTGGGACTCTGTCTGAATCGAGGAGAACCATCTGATTCCCTAAGACGTTTCCCCTGAGTGACCGCGGCCACGGTCTTCTATCCTACAATGCCACCTCTTCCAGCGGCCGTCGAGAAGTGTCTGTCTTCGGTGGGTACCTCCCAGAGTTCGGGCTAGCTCCTGGAACTGGCAAGAAGCTCTCCATTCTCTGTGTGGAGACACACACAAAACTCTTACCGAAAAAACTTTTACCCGCTATGGGGGGCTGAAGCCTGCAGCTGATGTCTCGGATCATGGCTGGCGGAAAAGACTGGCGACTACGCATCGAGTAAAGCATCGAACAGCGGAACAAGCTCCCGACGTAATTTTGGGCCGTTGCTAGTCGCCTGGGTTTTCGTCAGAGCCGGGGTTATCGTACGATATCTTCGGAGAATGATCCTTTCGATGTTTCCCAAGAAGGGATCATAGCGAGAAATGGCTGAATTATTTTAGTATTATTGAGATTCAGTGCTTATCGTCTCCCTATCTTGCAGAAATACCAGTATGTCCACAAGGCTCGGAAGGACATCCAGGCGGCGTCCGACCATTACAAAGGCCTAATCCCGAAGGCAGAAACATTCATTTTCAATGACGGGAGCTCAAAGGAGCTTGTTTGCCTTGACGGTAAGAAGAAAGTCGAAAGGTCCTTCGCAATAAAGCTCCGGAGGAGCTCGACGAACGAGGAACGTTCAAGATATTGAGTGATTCTGCGTTACATTCTAGGCACGATACCTGTCCGATACAAAGGCAAGTCCTACTACTTCCCGGTACGGGTCTGGGTCTTGGACACCCACCCGTATCATGCTCCGCTGTGCTTCGTGTGCCCCACCCCGACGATGCAGATAAAAGTATCCCGTAACGTCGATGAAAGCGGTCGAGTTTATCTACCCTACCTCCACGATTGGAACGGCAACACTGGCAGTGACATCGTCGGAGTCCTTAAGGTGACTTTCTCGGCCAAGTATCGGCCGAGCTTTTATTATGGTTTTCAGAATTTCCTATGATCACCTCCGTGGTGTGCGGAGAGACTCGTCCGTCGTGGCATTCTCCCAGAACATCATCGTGATCTCGAGAGCCCTGAGAGGGGAATTCAGATCCTCCTCCTGAGTTAGTCCCGGGATGAATTCACGGACGGATAGTGCTTCAGAGCCGAGACTGAGGGATCATAATTCAAGGATTTTCGACCCTATGATTCCAGGTCATGATCATGGTGTTCAGCGAGACTCCCCCGGTATTCTCGAAACCACTTGGAGAGCTTAATCAAACACCGAGACACACGGCTACCCCATACCCCTCGAGCAGCGCTTCCGGTTTCCCGATGCCCTACCCCAGCTCCTCGAGCGTGAACTACCCGAGTCCGTCTAGCAACCCTGGCTTTGGCAGTTCGAACAACAACACGCTCAGCATCACTGATGAGCACATACGTATCAGTCTCCTGTCTGCCGTGGAGAGCAGAATCACCGATCGGTGAGTCAGCCGAGTGTTCCTCGACGTAATTCACCGACGCGATTCGGACCGGAAGGAGATCGGGGAGGTCGTCCGCTCAAAACTAATCCTTTACAGAGCCCTGGAATTCGAACAAAAATCGAAAGCCGAGGAGGAAGTTCTGAAGAAAACGAACGAAGAATTAATACAAGGCAAAGCCAAGCTCCAGAAGTTCATGAGCGACATGGAAAACGACTGTCGCGAGTTGGACAGCAACCTCACCGTACTCCGAGAGAAGAATGAGCAGTTGAAATTGGCTGTCGAGCAAATGTCCGATTCTGAGAACGGAGGTGTTGATATCGATAACGCGGTCACAACCACAGCGCCTCTCTACCGCCAGCTGGTGAACGCCTACGCCGAGGAAAGCGCCGTCGAAGACGCGATCTACTACATCGGAGAAGGTCTCAGGAAGGAGGTGATCGACTTGGATACCTTCTTAAAGGTGCGTCTTTTCCTCAATTCAACCTGAGCTGAGGACCGACCCTCAGTCCTCAAATAATTCCCTTAGACATCCGCTTGGGACCACAAGTATCCACTATCTCTTTCCGAGCATTTCATTAGGTCTCATTGAATATCTACGGCTGAATTTCTACAGCTCTCGAATTCCTTTTTGCAGCACGTACGAGAGCTCTCCAGGAAACAGTTCATGCTCAGGGCTCTCATGCAGAAATGCCGTCAGAAAGCGGGGCTTCCGTCGATGTGAGATTGCTTTTGGCGAGAACGATTGAGTGATTGGACGTCAGACTCGGACCGGCACGTTGCATCCATCCTGTTAATATATTATGTGTCTAGTTGAGGATCTGATAAGACAGCGGTACATAATAATAAAGGATTTACCCACTTGGAATAAGCGTTTCCGGTGTGCTTGTCAATGCTGCCTTATGGACCAGTACTTTGAATCGTCCGGGGCCTCAGACATCCGTATAATGGGGATCTGGGATCTGGAACCGAGCTACCTCCGATCCTGGACATGTCGTGCAGAACTCAATCAAATTCTGAGCAGAGAGCGTGAGATCTTTCTAGTCAGAAGAGTCTCGTCTGGAACTTTGGGAGCCGCGCATTTAAAAGCCGCAGCTGAATTCCGAAACGTGTGTCCGCGGACGTTGCTATTTCGTGACGTCGAAGTCCGATATATTGGTGTGGAGGAGACGAACCCTTGTGAGTAGTAGTGAGGGGAATCCTGGACAGAAATGCGGATACCCGGCACAAATCTAGCTCTCGTTGCGATTTCCGTGGTTCTCACATCGCAAGAATCGGTGGGTATGGGTCCGAATAAAAGGGCAGAAATGACGAATCCTAGAATGCTGGTGCTAGAAGAACTCAGAGTCTCCCTCTCTGAACAGCTGGCTTCGCATCACCATGGGCTGAAGGCGACCTTGGTCGAAGTCCAATCGTCCGCTGCCGACTTGGGTATACCTCTCAACAAAACTCTCCAGGATTTGTTAGCAGAAGAGGTGGTCACGGAGAGAACAGATTCCGGGTTCGAGAGATACTTAGCAAACCCTCTGGCTGCGGTAGCCAAGCAAAAGGTGAGGCTTTCATAAGTTCAGGAACCTCCTCATGTCATCGAACACGGCAAGACTTTGCGAAGAAGCGCGATCTGTGGGAAGGGCAATTATTTGCGATCCCGGTTTGACTTAAAAGATCTTCGGAGGAGCACTGAGAAGTTGAGGAAACCGCACTCCAGAGCCAGAAAATTCAGTGATTCCCCCAGGGCCCAATGACCTCATTAAGAGAATGATTTGTGGGAGCATCGACTCGTCCAGAAGAAATTGGGGCGAAGCTCCGCTGGACGCAGGATCTCGCATCCCCAAATCTTCCCTGATGATCGGAGCCGCCACGATTTGCGGCGCAAGTCACGGTCTCGGCTTTGCGGGGTAGCGCAATGGGAGTCTTGATTGTCAGGATGCGGCTTGGTGTCCCGCCCTTGTGGGACTTCACACTGGGTTTTCACCTTCCTACTTTCCAATCACCAGGTGAAGGCAATCTGGGGGCTATTGACGATTCCTTATCGGCTCGTTATGGCTCCTTTCCAAGCAGCGAAGAGTCTCTGGAAGACCGGAAAGGCCATCGGGCGACCTTTCAACGCAACGAAATGGGGGAAGTTCTATCTGGACTTGAGGAAGATCAATAGGACATCGGCTATGGATAAACCATTCGGCGTTTAAATCGCTTCCGAGAGTTTGTGATTGTGCGAAGATCCCAAAAGTTTCTCCGCTGGTGACAACAGAGATATCAAGGGGGGAAGCTGCGTGCAAGCAAGAGATGGAAATCGTTGCCCCAACCCCAACGGAGGGGAGTGGATGAAGAGGTTTTCGAACTTTGTGAGCGGAATAATCCTCTTCCGTTCACAACGCGAATTCTCTGATCAAACTTTTCAGAGATCGTGTCTTTGTCGAACCGCCCCTGATCCATTTACCATCGAAAGCTGTCAGGGATACGAAATCCAACGACTTTGTTTTATTGGTGTCTCACAAAACGATTGAAAGGAACATTTCTACAGAATAAACTTTCTCCGAAAGAAAGCGCTATTTGTTCGGTGGCTCTGCATCCAGGAGAGCTGATCGAATTCCAGCTTTCTCTAGTTCCTCGACGAGATCGCCGCTCTTGTGCATTTCCAGCATGATGTCACAACCTCCAACGAATTCTCCATTGATGAAAACCTTCAAAGGAAGTTCCGGATGATACTTAGCTAGTTGAATTGAAATCACAGTATGATTAGCCTTGAGTTTGGGCGTACTTGGGGAATGGTGGGCCAATTTGTGAACTGTTTAATCTGTTGCCGGAGCTCTTCATCCTGCAGGACGTCATACGATTCGTAGGGCACGCCGTGCATGCGCATTATTTGGACAACGGCGTTACTGAAGCCGCATTGAGGCTCTGCAAGAAACGATAGGTATTCGTTATAAATTCCCCCATGTCGTGGACCTCATTCATCCGACAGGCTCTGGACACTTTGGGCGACGTCTCACGGAGAACCCCAATCCCCCTACGCCTTGCACCTAAGAGAAAATCATCGCGTTAGGGAGCTCGATCTCACAGAACTCCGGACTTCTTCTACACTCTCTACCTGTCTCATCGATTTCCTTTCAGCTGTTGAACACTTTCGGCATCCCCTCGCTGTCCTAGCAGTAAATCTTAACGATTCTTAAGTATACATATGACAAGTCAGACAGCCCCGCGTCTGCAATGACCTCTACGACGTTTTGAAATACCCCTGAGAACTCCAATTAGCAGAACATCACTAAAATCAAGGCTGACTCTCAGCACTTCGCCGGAATAGAGCATGGATCGCGAGTTTCGTGATTCCAAGATGAATACACGTATTCACATATGTTTGAAGGGGAGGTCATGTCGAGAATGACTCTGGACGCCGGACGCGACTCCAGAAGAATCTCCGGAGGAAATGTCACAGCAAGGCCTTGCAACCATGGAGTCCGAATCGAGAAGGGAGGGTGGAATCAAGGTGGATTGGATCCAGAAGCCGCCTGCATGGCGAACGCGCGTTTCAGACTCACCTTTTGGGTTTCCTTTCATGAAAACAACAACTTTGGCTTTCTTGACCATCTCGTCAATGTGCTTGTGTTTGGCTTCGGCAGCCAAGAACCGCGCGGTCTGGCAGAATATACGACGGGCGAACATTATTTTCTTTCCGAATATTCTCTTCGCGTACACCACTGACTGAGTCTGTTCGCCGATCTATTTTCGAGCGTTCGCTTCTGGGCTGTTAATGCGCGGAAGTCTTCTTTCGGACCTTTAAGATCAGATGAGAGAGCCTCCATTTTTTTTCACCCCAATGATTCATCGAGGGGGTATCAGGCTCGAACGTCTCAAATACTCGGAGGAGGAGCTCTCATCGGCAGTGTTAGTTCCTCGTACGCGGCAGCATCGGAAGAGTCGTGTTCCGGCATCCGGAATGCGTTCATCCTCAATAATACTACTGTCAGAAGCAGAACAACAGCGAAACTTCTTCTCTTTGTCGGGTTCCTCCCACATTGGGAGAGGGGCGATGGGAGTCGGGCGGGATGTGGAAGAGCGCGATACATAATGATATGCACAAGAATACCTAAATTCGTACATAACCTCTTCATACGAATTCTCTGTAGACCTGCTACAATGGACGGATAATTCGCAGAGGGATTTGAGAGAGCTCGACTCGCGTTCGGTTCAAAGCAACGCTTAGATATGGAGAAACCTGGGGTTTAGAAGTTCCCTGGGACTTAAGCTCTCCCGATTGGAGCTTCTCCCTGAATCCACCTAGGGCGAATCATCCGAGCCCTGACTGTGAATTTCGGGATTCCTTTCTCGAGAGCACGAATTCGGGACGTGCTGCAACGAAATTCTACGAATGAGCAGTCGACAGAATCGCGAACGGGGTCGGAGCCGGAGCGCCACAGGCTCTCAGTCCGATTCGCTGAAATGGATTCTCCTGAACTTCTCGAATGATGCTCCTCCGTCTGTGCTGGAGAGGCCCCGCGTCCTAAAGAACATCGATCAGGCGCTCAGGGTAGGTAGGGTATTCGGGCCAGAGGAGAACCCGGAAAGTCACATTCAGGAGGGTTGCACAGCGAAGAACCTTACCTCACCGGGATCCGATCTTCGAGTCCGCGGAGCATTCGTGAGCGTTGAATCGCCGTTCGCTATCGACGGTAGGTCTCCGAAGGTCTCAGCATTCGGAGTCCAGTGCTTGATCCGTGCCATTCCGGCTCACCCCCGAGCCCTCAGCCAGCCGGGCTCTTTTTCTTATGAGGGATACCTAAATATCTCTCTAGTACTCGGAAAGCGCATGCTGAAGGTGAGAATCTTTCGATACTCGTTATAGAGTGTTTCGGTGAGGCCGAAGGGATCGGTGTCGGCGGACCGAAGCCTGCTGGCAGCGATGGAGATATCCGATTCGGGGGAGGAGAATCGAAATAATTCTAGGATCATTCCCTCGGGCAACGCGACCGGAGGAAAATGGGAACTCCACCGAACATTCGGCGAATCGATGAGCGGTGCGAAATTCAGAAGGAGTTTGAGCCAAAGCTAGCATCCTTGAGCTGCCGAAGGATTCAAAACCAACTTCCTATCCGACTGATTAGAGAAATCGGTTGTCCTAGACGGGAGAGATATGCGATCAAGAGAGGATTCGTCTCCGACGGCAATTAATTGATTCTTTATGATTTATTCTCTGATCTTTCATGTTTTCCCACCCACAAAATTCACCGACGACTCCTCGAAGCCACGTTGTGAAGAAGATACGGCGTTTTCAGGCGTGTGACATCACGCAGTTTCGATTAGGTCACAGAAAATCCCCGAGACCATCGAGGAGCAGAGGCCAGACGAATAAGGCGAAACACCTTGGTGAATACTTCTCCACACGACAGGGACCTCTCTTGTGAATCCGAGAGAAGCTTCTCAATATTAAGGTAGGCATTAATGAGGTTATCCGGGGAATGAGTACGAAAAGAGAGGGCACCAGAAAGGCAATCACAGCGCAGGGCTTTGGCGCTCATCGATTGGTCCTCTATTGATATTGGCCGTGAGGTGGCCAAAAATTTCGCGGAGTAAATTCCCCGTCGCCGTAAAATTTCTCGCTTGAATCGAAGTGCTGAACTGCGAGGAGAAGATTTCCAGTTTCTCCCAGTCGCTCATCTCGATCGAATCATCGGAACTCTGTGATTCGATGCCTTCGACGTACGGCTCCGGATGCAGTTTCATGAACCAGTTACTCAGCGCTTCGTAGTAGAAGAGCTCGCATGCCCGAATCGTATGCCTCTGGAAACAGCGCTGGACAACGCTCGAAATGGCTGAAGCGTCGTCGTCGCAAGATCCTGCACAATAATTATTCCCGGTCGTCGCAGAATACTTGCTCCAGATTGAGACGATGAGGTGGATCAGGAGCAGGATTGCGAGAAGCAAACCTACGCGACAAGACCTGCACAACGAGATGGTTCTTTGTATGAGTACGATAAATTGAAAGGTTTCGTTCAGTATTCCCGCAGTGGGCCTTCCCCGGTCATTGTGCTTACAGAGATTCGTTTGATTTCGCTCGATTCGACACTCACCATTTTGCCGTAGACCCTCCTTTCGAGGCTTTGGCCTGATTTCCAGAGCGGCCTGTGCTCTCCTCGGGAAGACCGTTGATCCTGACTGATTTGCTGCTCATGTTTGATACGTTCTCCCAGCTTCTTCCACTCTTGGCTGGAATGCTTGGTCTTTTCGCGTTACTCGTGTACGTGAAACTCCACAACAAATCGAGACTTATACGTAGCTCGAATGCCTTGTGAACGCCGCTGGGATGCACTGGAGCCAGTAGATCAGAAGCTATCACCTAATCACGGTCAAGCCCTTTTCGCGCACCTTCCAAATCGAGACGAAATCGCGCGTGCACGTTCGACGCACATCGTCATCTGCTCATACGCCAATCTGTGTGCTCATGTGAAAACCGTTCGTGCCGCGCAACGGTTGTGGTCAAATCCAGGTTTCAGAAGTGCGCATCATAGAATGAACGCCAATGACCCTGTCGGGAGACATAGGCTCGATATCTGAGTAGAGGGGTGGGGATTCGGCGCCAGGATAAAAGCGGCTCCTGGAAAAGAGCCGCTTCTGTGTGTATTTACTATGAATATATAGAAGGAATAATTAATGTTTGTCTCTTTGTCAGCAATGAACCCCTGCATACTGCGTCAGGTAGTTCTGGGTAACTTGAGTAATCGAACAGCCCTCTTGAACGATCATCATTGGGGAGTCCAATATGGCAGACATCGGAAACGAAAGCGTCCCGTACTCTCGAATTACAGGGGCAACATTCAGAAAGACCCAATCTGTGTGGAGACGCTGGCGGCGGGAGAATTCCTGGTGTGGAACACTCTCCTCCATTCAAATTATGAAATGCATGAGAGGAGGGGGTTGCAAGGTTCCACGGATTCAATGCCTAGCACCACCTCCGCCACGAGTACAGTCTGTGAATGTTTGCACTCCATGTGTACTTCGCTTATTCAATTGTCATGGATGGTCATCAGGTGGTTCATTGATTCAGCTTCCGCCGCCCTGGAGGGCATACAGAACACCCATGGAGGCATCTTGAAGTCCTCCCCATAATAGAATAGTTTCTCTCTGGAATACGAAGGCGCTCCGATTGGGAGTTGGACCCAATTTCTATAGCGAAATCGTGGGATCAAAAGGATGACTCAATGTACCGTGCGGCGGAAATTATCTGAGGTACTTCGTCCCTACCAGGCTGGGCTCCGAGAATCCTGGGACTAAGTTCCATCCAGTAGGGGGGCCTCGGCCGGACGAAGCTCCAGGACCAGGACGAGAGGGTCAATACATACTGCTTAATCGAATGCGTTCTCGGATAGATGAGGTTGTCGATGCGCGTGAGATTCGACGATTCCATCCCGGGAGGAATCTGAGCTGATCATGACTGCTGAAATCAGATAGATGTCTGGAGTTTGCCTCACCTGGAAGTACCGCGGCGATCCTAGGGGTGTGATACTCTGACGGATTCCTGTACTCCATAGATGTCTACAAAACTCTGGCATGTGAGCATATAGCACAATTAATTTATTTTATAACTTTAGGGAGCGGGGGTTCCACGCGTCGCACGCACAAACTCGACTCGAATTAACTCATGATCGGGGGTATTGAAACGTTCCCGACAATCGGTAACGCCTCGGCTGTCTAGATTCATGGATACTCGACCAGAAAGCACCCCGATATCTGAGAAAGAGGTTCCCCTACGGTGAATGAGAAGCTCGGAGGCTGGTTCCTGTCTCGACAACCGACCTGTGCCGATGATATTTCCGTGTGCTTTCTGAGTATACACCGCGGGATCAGAGAAACTTTTCCCTGATCATGTCGATCTATTCTAAAGAATCCGTCGCTTCGTTCGCGCGTCGTAATCAGGTTTCGTCTTCAATCTTTCTATCTGCCATCGATCTCTTATATCCGCTACAATTCACTGAATGTGTAGACTGCTTCAGCTGGTAGCACGGCCAGGAAAGTCGGAAGCGTTCGAAGACTGAATTCGCCTCCTCTAGGGCGCTCTTGATGACCGCAGGACATTTCTCGTCTGGCGCGAAGAAGAGCTCTTCGTTAAGAATCAAGCATCCGGAGTCGATGAGCTTCTTCCACGGATCCCTGGTCACGAGATTCGTTTTCCGCTGGATGGGCCTTCCGCTTGAGTCCATTCGAACGCTGAATTTCCCCCAGCTGACTGGCATCAATGTCGACAACATGATGATGATGAGAACGCACCCACAGAAGACGTTCGCTCTGAAAGCAGAAGATATCTCTAGCGCTCCGGGGCAGAAAACGACCCTCCCTCGCAAGTTCCGACCCCGCCACGAGCTTTCCCCTTCGGTATGCTATCGTCAAGCTCTGCACTTACAGAGATTTCCAGTCGAAGGGGGGTAAGAGAGCACCAAGTCCCCCTGTTCGGAATCGCGGCGCGGGACTCATCATTACGGCGACCGAAGAGCTAAGTGAGTTGTTTATTCAGCCCGATTTCGAATGGTTGTGCCGGGCTCGTTCGATGAGACGTGGGCACGTTCTCCGCTGCTGACGTGGTACGATGTCCGGCGAGCACAAAGGACCGAGGTTGGTTCGAGAATCATTTCTCGAATCCTCCCCGAAATACGAGACAGACCTAAAACCAGCCGGGAGGGCAACCGGGGTGGTAATCATTCCCTCCATAAGTCGTATACCACCCCGTTTGTCTACTAGGTCTCAATAATCGTACGAGCTGGCCCAATGCGCCTCCGCTCGAGAAGCTAGCATATTTGTGCCTACATGGAATACGGTAGTGTTTTTTCACGCTTCTCGGCGCCTCGATCACAAATTCATTGTGTGATACATCACTAATACATTTATTGTGGTCAGTAGTGGGAATCCCGAGACTACTAGGATAGCCTAATTAGTTAGTTAAATAATAGGCAATGAAAGGAATACCTACTCAAGCGCGAACTATTCCTGTACAGAAGGGTATCACACAATTAAACTCACTTCTTTCACTGGGAAGGCTCGAATCAACGTACGGCTCAAAGTTTCGAGAGCCGACAAACTTATCAAAACAAGGACGGGGTCGAACTCGATGAATTCGTATGTATAGAAATGGCCCTATTTCGGAACTTCCGATTTTCCCCGAAATGCAGATATTCCCCGCAGACTTTTCCCGACTAACTAAGCTCTTAGTCTGTTGATCCTCTGGAGGACTTCTCCCTCGTCCATGGCAAGAGCTGTCGCTACCTCTTTCAGACTGAGGCACTCTTCGCGGTCCAAATTCCCGTCTCCGGTGCGAACCTCCCGCTCCGAATCGATGTCTTTCTTGATTGCCGAGTCCTTGGCTGAAATGAATGCTTTGTGCATTTCGGCTTCCTTGACGAGCCTCTCGTCGGGTGGCAGCTTCGACACGTGCAGATATCCCTCGATGGCTTCATTGAGCATCGACAAGGAGCTTCGTATGAGGGCCGGGCATTTCGAAGTCGGTTTGAAAGTTACATCCTCCGTACCGAGGCATCTATCGACGACGAAAGCCATCGCCCATGGTTTCTCAGTATCGTGCTTCGGGGGAATCGAGAAGAACGCCAACATGCAAGTGAGAAACACGATCGGTATGCCCACCGCTGCAGCCCAGATATCGAACCTGAAAGTTTCCGGTATTTCTCACAGATCCTGTAGATCAAGATGAAGTCCATTGACTTGAATCGCGAACGAACTCACCGGTACTCATTCCTCCGACGCGAGGGCATCGCATACGGGACTAGCCGTAGATGTGATTCATCTGAGTTTGAGTCCATAATTTGTCGGATGCTTGTCGTTCCAAGTCGGAGGGAAATATTTTGCTCTCGGTGCACGTAACCTTGCTCGCGGGGCGGGAGAATATCGAAAACATTCGGAGCTTGGTTCCCCTCCACTAGAATGAGCGTAGCTTTTAAGGAGCATACGACTCATTCTCGAGAGTATCTGCTCGAGGAGTTTCTTTCAACTGAGAGTTTTCTCGGACTCCGAGCCCACAAGTTCTCCTGGCGAGAACCACGCAGTTCGACGACGGATTCCCGTCGGGAACCCCAAGAGCCCCGCGACCAGGAGAATCGAGGAATTGGGTCTACCTTCTCGACATTGGCCACGCTGGTTCCCGGGGTAATTCGCATCTGGAAATTAATTCACGCGGTAATCGTAAATGGGAGAGAGGAAAACGATCTCGACTCGAGTGGGGAGATTGGTTGTTGATGACTAGTCCCACGCTTCCAACGTCGAGCTGTGAGTCGCCCAGTTTCGAATTTATCTCCCTTGGGCTCTCTGGGCCCAAGGGCTCTGAGGGTTTGTCTTCGTATCTACTGTCGACCAGTAGGTTTGGCTCCACTGTCCAGCGTTCGGTCGTGCTCTGGCCCCCACAATTGTCTGTTTACGAGAGTCTAGAATAAATCTACTGAAGCCAATCGCAAGGCCTCGTAGGGAAAAGGGCAATCCGGGAGACTCGTCTTATCAGATCCCCGGAAGGATAATGCGATAGGAACCCCGAGGCGAGAGAAAAGGTACCAAGCTGTCATCGCTAGTCGCTGCTCTGTCTGAGGATTACGGTTGAGGCCCACGCAGGGCGCCGGAGCGATCAGTTCAATTAGCCGCGGGCCCGATGACGGGTTCGATATGATGGATTAGGGTCGAGAATATGACTGAGACGCTACGGAGAAGCGCGTCCTCATCGTGAGCCGGACTCCGGAGAACACTCTACATGGTGGGGACTTCACACTATCGAAAATATAAATCGGTGAATTGTCTTCGAGTCTGCACGCCCTCTGGAATGGACAGCATCCTAGCTCCTTTCTCCGTGAGCCAAGACCCAGACTGCCCGCTAGTGAATCGCGGGCTTGGGCAGGCGGCGCTCTGCTCGCCGTTCATCTAGCGGGTGCGGAGCGCTCTTTCCCAAAAGCCGCCATGTTGCTTTGCGGTCAAATGACACCGCACGAAAATAAACGAAAACACGAGTACAGGTCTGTGAATTCCAGATCGCGGGAATGACTCCCATGTGAAGTTCGTCGCTATTTCTGTTATACCAGTGTTCATCAGGCATTGCCAATCCGTTCTTTGATGCGACTCCAGCGGTGTGCCGGGATCCAAGGTGAGCCCTCCTCCACAAAGTGACTGCTGACGTTCCTGTCGAGTCCCATCGAATGTCGATGTGTCAAAAACATCCATGGTCGGCATGCGCTCCCCTATTTCGTCTCCCTCCCTGGAATACTATCAGGGAGCCCAGGGAGCGGTGGGTATACGAATTCCTCTGCGAACCCCAAATAGGAAAAGTCTTCAGATCACGGTTCTGTTTTCCAGATGAGCAATCTGATCCAGGAATGCGAATCGGAGAACTTCTGTGCAGAAGATCTGGTCGAGCGGTTCGCATGGCGGAGTTTAGGCTCTCAGAGAGACGATCGTTTCGACGCGAAGGGTCTCGAAGAAGCTTTCAGGAATGAAATCGACCATCTCCGGCGGGAGTATGATCACAGGTTAGTCATTCCGGCCGAGTTGTCAAGTCGAACCGACAGTCGTAAACAGGGCATCGATTGTGCTGTCGAGATCCGTTCCCGGCCTTTCCGTGAAGAGTCGCGCCTGTGAGCGCGACCGATTCGGTAGACGGTTCAAAGACCCTGCTGTCCTTCCAGAGAGCAGCGATGCCAAAGGCTCGAGAAGAACTGTGCGGAGGACATGGAAAGACACTGGAACAGAGTGAAAGATCTGATCGAGAAAAACAAACTCAGTCAGAGGACGTACAAGGATCTGGACATGCAGATCGGCAGAGTAGCCGCAAAAGTAGTTCATCTCGGCGATCTGCTGGAATCTGTGAATACGCCCCGCGCCCGAGCGGAGGAGGCGGAAAAACTCATGCTCAAATTCGGCGACTTCCTCAGCGAGGTGAACGACGTTCCCCTCTCGAAACAGAACATCTACGAAAATTCCGACCTCATCCAGAAACTACATCTGATCGCACAGGAGCTCCCGTCAGGCGGGAAATTCGACGAGACGAAAAATCGTATCACCACCAAATACTCACAAATTGAAAGCGATCTCATCGACGAGTTCCGGAACGCTCACGATATTGGTGACATCGAAAAAATGATCCAGTTAGCCTCGATTTTAGCTCATTTCAAGGGTTTCCAGACGTGTGTGGATACTTTCATCAAGAACGCGCAGCGCGGAGCCTACATGAAGAGTGATGTTTTCAAAGACATTATCCCCTTATGCCGGACCACGCAGCAGCTAGTTAACCAAGTTTTCGCCAATCCCACCAACGTGATGGCCAGATTCGTCACCGACATCTATTCTGTCAAGCTCCAGGACTACATAACCGCTCAACTCCAAGTGAACGATAAAGGCGACTACCTACAGAAACTTCTGCTTATGTACGGCAAGACCGAACAGCTATCCCAGGATTTGACCGCTTTCAAGATCGATCCGGCTCTCCTACAGAAGCTGTCGCGTCAAATCTTCCAGAAAGATCTCGACGGATACATCGCGGTCGAAATGCAGTATTTACGAGACAGATTGGATTTCCTGCTCCGAAAGTACTACGAGGATCTAGGCCACACCAAACGGTCGGTCGGTGGCCTGACGGATCTGCGACGCGATATGCAGATGTTCATCGCGCCGCTCACCAGCATCAACATCGCTCCGGTAGCCGAAGATTTCAAAGGCGAAACTTTCCTGTCGGAAGCCTTGGCAGCTAACATGCTGGAAGAGCTGCGACACGCTCTCCTCCGATGTAAACGATTATCGAGGCAATCTGAACGGTCAAAGAACGCCTGCCAGATCTGGCATTGTCTGCAGACTCACCTCTGCGTCGAGCACATTCACTACGCCCTCGATCTAAGTCTCAGATGCATCCCACTGAACGAGACGAAAAGTGAACCCCGGCTCACATTCCTCGACTGTGTCAGGGAATGTAATACGATGGTTCACCTGTTAGACGATCTGTTCTGCAAGAGTGTAGTGCCATTAGTCTCTTCGACACCCGAATACGGCTTGTGCCTGCAGAAAAAACGTGAATGCATAGAGCAGATGGAAGTCAAAATGCACCAGGGCATTGAACGCTGTATCCAAGCCATGGTCGCCTGGATCAATCTGCTGCTCTCCGAACAACGAAAAACCCCCCTTAGCGCCGCGGAGAATAGTTCCAGCCCTACTTGTGCGCGAGTGTGTCGTTACGTGAATGATTGCTTCGGTCAGATCCAACGGAATCTCGACGGTCAGAACTGTACCGCAGTTTTGACCGAGTTCGGCATCCAGTTTCACAGAGCAGTTTACGAGCACATTTCAACAATGCAATACGACCCCAAGTCCACAGCTATCATCATCATGTATGACGTCAGCGAGTACCGGGGCTGTGCGCTGCAATTACCGCCCATCGTCCGGCAGCTGTTCGAAGTGCTAGCCATCCTGGTCAATCTCCTGATGACGTCCCCGAACAAGCTTCAAGATCTTTTGAATAGTCACGCTCTCGAGAAACTCGATCAACAAGTTCTGCAGAACTTTGTCGAGCTCAGAACGGACTGCAAGCAGGAGAGGCTTGTGCAAACATACTTCAAAGCCAGGAAATAGACTACGCCTCTCGAGACGCCGTAGAGTTCACAACCTCAACTAGTCCTTACCGATGCAATGAAACCTATCCGAGAAGGTTTCCACCCACCGTTGTTCCGTGTCGCTACTTTCCTATCATCGAAATCGGGAGAAGCAGAGAGTTCGTCAAGCGCGCGATCTGATATCACCGCGGATGAAAGGTGGAGTAGCGAACGAGAAATACTATTTTTCCTTTCACCGACCGTTTCGTCGACCGAGACGCTAATTAGCTGTGATCGTTAAAATTATCCCGGGATGAACTGCGGGATGATTTGTTCCGGGAAAAAATTGTTGAAATTATCATTGATTATTTTATTGAAATCCCGGGCTCAAAATTTCAAATTATATCCGATGTGACCCACATCGATCACCATGAGGCTTGGGATGTATTCTGTATGTGGTTTCTTCGATGGACCGTTTTCGTACAAACATGCAGTCGTGGATAGGTTAAGATCTACAATAAAACTCAGTCGATTTGGAAACTAAGGCATTCGGTATCTTTCCGTCTCTCCCATTAATTATCGATGCGAGGTATCCGGTATCCCTTTGTTTCTCCCCATATCGATGTACATATGTACGTACATTCGGAACGTGCTACCTGTCAATACAGCGGAAATCGAAAGCACGGAGCGCTGACCCTGTTTTAGATTTTCACGGTCGCGTCGGATACGATTCCCCCGACTCGGACATTCCCGAGGCGGTATCTCCGAATTTCCCCTGATTTTTTTTGCTATCTCCTTCATTCGCCGGTACGCCGAGATTGTACTTGGTCGCTGTGGTCTCTCACATCCAGGACCTGAGGGAAGAAGAAGCCTTCTTCAAGTATGACGACCTGTTACTGTGGGGGACTGTTATAGTGATAGGTTGAGATCGAGCGAAATTTCGACCGAAGTCGGATATCCTAGGCACGCTCCAGAGATACGCGTCACTGATCGTTCGGATATCAGCCCACCCAGATGACGCCCCACAGATGATGCGGCGCTCCAAGATTTTCCGGGGATCCGGGGACCAGCGATTCTAGACGAAGGTGCCAATAAGCGATGAAGGCAAACATTTTTGACAGAGTTTGGATTATCCCTCCAACAAACGGTAAATATCTCGCTGACCTCCGACTTACGTGACTTCGATCATGGGCGGCTCGATCTGGATTCGGTGATTCAAGCAGACTACAGAATTCGCAAAGTCGGTCAAATCACGTCATGGCTGCATAATACGTCATCGAATTCGGTTTTAATGCTTCTGACATTATGTCCTACTCCGCCGCTTGACGTAAGTGCATCGGATAAATGTATACGACCGCGCAAGCCTCCCGTTAATCAAGCGAGCGAACTAGTGAGAAACTCATTCCTTGTGGATGAACTTCCCGCCGATCCGGACGGATCAATCAACGCAATCGAAAGTGCTGCTTCAAAACGTTGCACCGCGAAAACGCATAGAGGGCGCCAGCGTCTTGAAAAGCGCGGCGCCGGATACCCAGCATAACGACGTCTCCAGTGACTCTGACAACATGACAGAGAGGAGTAAACACTAGTGAAGTAACGAACGCTCGTGCTCAACAAATGCAACCCAGAACCGGCACTTTCCCGTGTGCTTGTTGGAGTCGTCGTCGCTTTGGATGCTCTTCTCATCGGAGTCCGGTGTGGTCGTGTGGTTGTTCTCCACTGATAAGTGAGTGGATCGTCTGCCCGATCAGGTGCCTCATCTGACGCAGCCGTCAAACGCCGGCCGCACCATGGGGAACAGACCTCCCGAGCCAAGGAGCGTTGACATAGGCACCGAACCCGATTCCGAACCAGAGCTGATCGGACCCGAGATGTTGGACAAATCGAAGATACTCACCCGCGGCAACATTATCGATCTGTACAATTCGATGCCGGCGAGACTTCAGTGCGCGCCTTGGAAGCTCACGTACTCGACTCATGTCAATGGTTACAGCCTTCTCACAATGTATCGATTGATGGAAAGCGTAGAGGGACCAGTACTGGTTGTTGTGAAAGATTTCCAAGGCACAGTGTTCGGAGTGCTGACTACAGATCCGCTCCTCATCAAACCGAGATGGTTTGGTCACTTGGACAGCTTTCTGTATACATTCAAATCAAAGTTTCGCACCTACGGGCCAACGTTCGCCAACTATAACTGTATTGCGTGCACGCCGACCTGCGTGAGATTCGGAGGGTCCCGAAGCGGATTAAGTGGTTTATATCTCGGAGACGATTTCTGTGATGGGAGCTCTCACGTCTGTGACACGTACAACAACGGCATACTATCGAAAAGCGAATATTTTCTCATCAGATCTGTCGAAATGTGGACGTTCTTTGATAAGTTCTAGATTATTCGAACGTGGTATCACGACGCGGAAAGTCAGAAATATCCGGAGAAAGCCGATTCCGCGACGGCCGTCTCTCATCGGCGAGGGAAGTAGAGTTAGGAATGTGCAGAAGTGCCAAGCAAACTCAGGATAGTGCAAAAGGATGATTGACTTCGGAAACCGTGACATCGAATGTAAATAATTTGTACATAGTAGTCATTTTTCGGGTCGGCGCATGTTTTCTACAGCTGCGCTCGAAGAAAGTCGAGTCGATGAACGAAATAAGTGATAAGAGGAAGGAGAGGATGGAAACGATCTGTACGCGGTCTTCGCGCTTAATAAAAAAGATGCCATATCTTCCAGAATGTTATCGACTGGTAACATCGAAAAATCCGTAGTTCTTCTTTCGCAGGACTCAGCTCCGTAGATCGGGAAGGTATCCGATTTCGAAACTTTCATAGTGCGACCGACCTCAGGAATCTTGTTCTGGGAATCTTGCGCCTCCATAACCGTAGCGGTCCAAAATCAGCTGACCGCTGCATTACGAGAAGCGCATTGGTATCCCGACATATTTTACAGTGATTTCTAAGACCACAGCGTAAATCCGAGGCTTATGAGTCTCGTTATCTCACTCAGACGCCTCGACCTCGTGACGTCTCCAGCAGATCTTCGGAAAGCGTCGAGGAGAATTCCTCAGATCTAGAAATTTCCGGACCGGCAGCACGTCTTACTCGAGCGCTGACAGAATGGTACCTATCACACTTCGGTAGAGTTCCCGCGAGTGTGCCGTTACGCCGTAAGCGATTGCCTGTGAACAATAACGACTGGGCGCCACCGGACAGAGCACAACGACTAAAAGCTGTCAATCAACGTCACGTGCTTGTCGATAATACCTCGGCGTATTGTTGCAGAGACGTCGAAATCGAAAAAAGTTTCGACGAGAGCTCTAACTCTGCACGATTCTGCTCTCAGTATCGAATGAATAAGAGGAAGCTCAAGTTACTCGCAAGAAACCGACCAACGCAGTCGATCGCCGAGTGGAATTCCTCGACGACTCCATCGTGGGACCTTTGGAATCTATCGACTCGGTGGCTTCGAGGAAATCATCCGCTCACAGATTCACGCGAAAACTTCTTGTCTCGCTGACCGTCCTCGCGATGAGATAGAGGCGAGTGGCGACGCGTTGTGGATGTAGCAATGCCTTCCGACTCGTTCAATCCAATCCAGTCCCGTTTCGACGTGTCCGAGTCTGCTTTGATTGTCTGGACAGACGTCCTTGCCATCGACGTTCAGAGACGGGACACGAGATTCGCCCGCGAGATCGCGAGAATCTGGGTTGCGAATCGAGAACTCTCCCTCGGAGCGCTTGTTTGCCACCGTAACGGCATAATAATTTTTCCGGTAAGCTCAGAGGGTACCCGGAACTTTCCGGGGTGAACACTGGACCTTCCGCTCCGAGAGGACTCTGTCGGTACCAAACGACCCGAACGTTCAGCGGCGCAACCCTGATTGCAATGAATCATCTCAGAAAGGGCTACCGTGGTCTCGGAGCCCGATCGGAGCGACCATGCGCGGTCAGAGTAAGCCGATTCGATTGTTGAATCATCCCTGAACTGAATAGAGTGTCTGGGGCGACTCCAACCTCGGAAGTCTACCGCGCCGACTACGCACCTTGTCAGGCGACAGGTCAAACTTACTATTTGCAGGTAGTTCACTCTCTTTGCGACGACAACCCGTTAACGTCAACCGCTCGCAATAAATTATACGGAGCTTGGACATTGAAACTCATTCTCGGACATTAACTGTCGATGGTCTCTAAAGGAACAATCATTGTGCAATGCCCTCAGGAGTTCACGACTAAGCGCAAGAATATAGGTCACCGTTCATGACGAGACCGAAGCCAGTGGATGTCTCCCGCGATGGAGAGTCATCCTTTTCCTCTAGATTTCTGACGCCAGGAATACTTTACTGCGCCCAGACATAAAAACTAGATCATTTTAATTTTCAGCGAGTGAGCTTTCCGGTGACTCCACCTACATATTAGGGAACGGAGCATTGCGAGCTTTCATGTCAATTAGGCACACATTGACAAGCTGCACCAAGAATGAAGGCCAGCCGCTCCACAACATACAAATGTATGTCTGCCAGATTCCTCTTTGTTTACGGCATGACACTGGCACGTGCTTCTCTCTAATGCACGATCGAACCCTCTCGTTCCTGAACTCCGGCCGCTGGAGGGATTAACTTATATCATTAGGAGGGATCGGCTTACATGAAGTTCATGATTATCCCTTTTAGAGGACTGCATGTTCGATTAGATGTAGAGTTTCAAACTCCTTGACTATTCGGAGGCACTCCGATCGGAATATTTAGTGCTGACCTCGAAAAAATACTCCCGAAAAAATACTATGAAAAATTATACAGCTCTAGCAGGTCGAAGACCCTGGGATTGATAGACCAAAAATGCTTCTTGATGCGTTTGATGGCCTTGTGAAATAATGTCAAAGCTAAGCCACTGGCCCCTTGAGCGAAACACGTGACCATCGGAAAGCCAGCTCCTAATCTCAGTGTGGAATTTTTTTCTCCCCGAGTGCTTCCCCGGGAGAACTCTCTAACAGGCGCACATGGATGGGAATAGGCATAACGTATCATGTTGTTGATTAGAGCGCACCAACAAGAACGCGAAGACCAATCGCGGCCCACGTTCCGGGTTTCACTTCCAGTATGGGGGGCATAAAACTTGTCGAGGCGATCGCGGTGACGATCATACGTTCAGAGCCTGATCGTGTGTGTGTGAGGCGACTCTGGAATCTCAGGTGGGGGCTCTGTCCTGCGGGTCTCCGTCTCGACGTCGATATCGGTGGAAGGTATGAAATCTGTCAAGAGTAGTGCGTCGATCGCGTCAAATGCATCGAAAGCGGTAGCAACCCGCATGTTGCTCATCGATTACGCGAACCCTACGAAGGGTCGCGATTATAAACTCAGGGAAACCCCTATATCGTTACTCGGCAAAACTGCATCTTGAGAATACAAAGGGCATGGGCATAATGCCCATCACCGGATTCGAAGAGAGGCAATCCTCAAGCGGCTAGTCTCGGGAAGAGCTGTTCCTGCGAGTGGGGCATTCCGTAGGAGCCTTCGCTATCTCAGAAAGTCTGCACAATTTCCGCAAGTCCACGAGTTATCTTTGTTTATCAATGACCGTGAGGATAAACTTATGAGGAATTTTTCGTGGGAAGCCCTAGGATTATCTCCGAGGGACCATGAGGGTCTAGAAAGGGGGACATTCCATTCGATATTTATGGGTAGAGAGGAGTTCGCGGACCAATCATCCAAGACCTCTAATCCAGATTTGGCTTGGCGGCGATAGCGCGCACTTTTCGAAACATGACTGAAACTTCGGCTTTGCGAACTTTTTTCTCAACTCGCCGCCCTCTCCCCGCGAGTCCCAATCATCCACTCCATGAAGCTGGCGACTCGCTGAAGTCTCCCGACCTCTTTATCAGAGATCAGAATGCTTGTCAGCCGCAGATGGCGGTCCCTGGTAGCGGAGCAAAAGGCAGTTGTCCTCTTCTCGTTGTAAGATCCCGAGTGATGTTTCGTTGCATTCGCCTCACCTACTCCGGAGAGAGATGAGCTTTTGGACCGAAGGACTAATCTCCTCTGAAATCTTCTTGCGAGAGGGAATCCATTAGGGAAAAACTTGATCTATGTGTATGGGATCCTAGGACTCGATTCAGACCATACCGTCCCATTTTAATGGATTGTTGACTCCTGTTTGCTAGATGCGTTCCGATGCAACCTTCGCGATGGTTCCATGGCGGAGGCGACATAATGCAGGGGAATATTTTGTAGACATCCCGGAGATTTTTCCTGAATTTTTCGCTCAGCGAACCGCTGCATTGAGGGATCACCCCAATCGATCCTCATAGGAGCCGACTCGGGGATCCAAGCTATCTGAATCAAACTTCCGCGGTTTCGGACGCTAAATTCCAGACAGGACGTGGGTCTCCGATGAACATGCTCTGGTTCGAGGATCTGAATGTTTTATTCCTTTATTGTCGGGTCTACCTCTGCCAATATCCTTTTCGCTCGTTTGATGCTGGCAGATGTCGCCAGCTGTGTCGTACCGGCGTGCATTACATTGACATTCATCAAGCGCCGATTGCCTGAAAATAGCTGTGAATTTTTCGCAGTGGAAGCTCACACATTCTCGCTTTGCATCATGGTGAGCTTTCGTTGAATACACCTTTTATATTGCTTCCATTGTGCGACTGGCTCCTCCGATCGGCGAGATGAGTGAGAATGTTGAGGCCGAACCCAATACTCATATGCTTTTGGTTGAAGAACTTGATCATCCTACAAGTTTCCAAGTGGGCGACGTTCATCCAGTCACTTTTAGTTTATTATCACGCATATTTAGAACGGAGCATACAATGTATGAGCGTAAGAACGCTGTGACCTGTCGGGACACGTTCGTGTCAATGCGAAGGATTGTATTGAACTATTCGCTCGATATAAGTTGGGACAGTTTCGGAGACAAGGAGCAGTACCCCGAGGGTGAAGGCAACGAATTTTGCTGCCGTCACCCTTCAGCTTGCGGCGCACATGAACTGTGTGTAGATGTAGATGACTGCGTACAGGGGGAAGATAAGTACGGAGACGGCGGATGGGAATAAGGGATGAAGGAAGGAAGCTCTGCGCGAGCGAGACGTACAGCCTGCGAGTCGAGAGGAGGGCACGGAAAGCATCCTTGAACAGGCAGCAGCGTCCCGGTTGAGGAACGACGACAGCGGGCACGAAGGAGCTGTGTCCAGATGTCCTTGCTATTCGAGAAGCGTCGAATTATCAAAACAATTTTCATGATGGCTGTCACCCGATCGCACGCAGTCTATGCGGAGAAAGCAGCCAAGCGATCGATCCTCCAAGCCGAGCACCCTCACACGTCGATATGGAACCGACATGCTACCGGGAGAGAGGGACACTGTTTGACTTGGACATCTCCTAACTGGATAGATGGTGAATAATTCCACGGAAGCTCTCACTTAGACTCACCAATGCAGCAAGGCAGTCCGTGCAGTCAGTACATAGGCCCCAAATGCAAAAAGTATGGCAAAGACCTGGCCGGCCGCTGCTATCACCCGGCGAAATCCCTTAGACCCCGATAATGGAAGTAATCTGCGAGCGGTCTGTAATCCGAAGCCTTGAAGGGGCGTTGGCTCGAGCGGACGCCCGCGGGACCCGACAACAAGAGTGAACCACCTTCCGACCTGGCGATCGACCACCCCACGATGGAGGCTACGGATCACAAGCGATTCGATGTAGCCGGACGCTGCTTGCCTCGCCGTGTTAGCGATAAGCTGATCATATCACTACGAGCGAGAAGTCTAC